CCTCGAAAGTTTAAGATTCACTCCCTATATGCTAATAACTTTTGTTTTATGTACCCGCACTTAATTTGCTTTCGGCATGTTAAAACGGGTCCTTAATCATGTAGATTTACAAAATCATACTTGTCACGCCCAGAAATTTAGCCCAAATTTCCAGACTATTTTGTGTATTAAATCCCTGTCCAGGACCAGCCAGGGTACACAAAACGACAAGTAATATACAGTTCCAAACGTAAATAAAGCGTAAAATACTTACAGAAGAGGCACTTAGTCTTCACACCGAAACAAAAGCAGCAGCAGCGGAAAAGGCGATCCTAGCGGGGCTTCAGCTCCACTCCACAGACAAAACTCAACTGGGGTCTGAGCCTTGGTCTTCTAACTTCGTCTTCAGCTCAGAAGCACTACACTTCTGAAAAGGGGGAATAATAGCAAGGCTGAGTACAACCACCGTACTCAACAAGCCACACCAACGATGCAGACGTGCAAGGGGAACACAAGGACGGTTTGTGGCTATTTGCATAAAGGCGGTTGTAAAACATTTTATTGAGCAAAACAGTAAAACAGTTGAGTAATTAAAGTAATATTGAATCTGCACTGATCAACGCTACACCACGTTGAACATGCCCAACCAACCCACCTGAACTACAGTGCATTGGGTCGATTTATTAAGGTGGGACTAATCACGGTGAATCTGGTCGACCGCCCATAACCGCGGGCACGGCTATTCGAATAGTTTTACTCTGATCAGAGGTGTACAACTGTACCCACAAGACACAGCCCCACGACACGTTTCCGTGCGCCGGCATGCCACCACGACATACCGGAAAGAGGCCGTGACAGGACCCTTCGCATAACCCCCTCTAACCAAGCACACCACACCTCAGGTTTCACCCCCACTCCTCGCAAGGCAGCGGGCAGTCCCCTCTCGTGCCTAGGTGAATCCGGAAGCCGCATAGGCCGTCGCAGGGCCCATCCAAACTCCATCACGCCCACCCTTGCCTGGATGCGTCGGCTAGAGGAAAGCTACACTACAAGCCCAGCCGTTGCCCACGCTGGCTTGTGGTAAGTACGATAAGTTCTTCCAGGGCATCCCGCGAACCGGTCCTTAATTGCCATGGGTGCGACTAGCAAAACCATGCACCCACAGCCCACCATTCAGTCGCATTTTAGTTGGATAATTACGACCATGACACATGGTCGGATGTCTCGAGCACGCAGCTCGTCATGTCATGATACTAGGAGGTCTAATACTGCAATTATCCCATCAACTGAGCTAGTGGTAATTAAGCATGGCTAAGCATACAGTTCTAGCTAGGTCACATAAGTAACATGAGCTAGTCGATTTATTACCCAATGCTGACAAAGGACAGATAGCAAGTAAACATGGCACAAGAAAGCAAATAGGTAATACCCGGATCCCATGTAATTAGCAAGACATGCATGTTTATTTGCAAACGGTAAAACATTTATAAATTGGGATCAACATGCTCAAGGGGAATGTGTGACTTGCCTTGCTTCTTCAAACAATCTTCCGAACTCTTTTCCTCGCGACCGCGGACTTCCGAAATGACGGATTCTACACGCTGGCACGCAAAACGAGGAAAAACTCTAATAAAAACCAAGGAAACAGTACATAAAAACTAAACAAACATGTAGAGCTCAATTTTAGATGAATTTTGCAAGTTGAATGGCTCAATTCGGAGTTCGAATGAATTAGATATGAATTTTAGAAGTTTTGAGCCATTTTAATGGATTTCTACAATTATTACCGATTTATTGCGCAATTATTATTTAATTTTTCAAAGGAAAAAGGCTATGCTGACGTCAGCAAGGGGTGAGGCGCGGACCGCGTCACAAAGGGGCGGGCCCCACACGTCAGCGGCAAAGCCCACCGTGGACCGAGTCCACGGCGGCAGCCGGCCACGTGGGCGCGCACCCGACGCTCCGGATCGGCCGGGGCCGATCGGACGGCCGGGGGCGGCCGAGCGGCACGACCGGGCAGGCACGCCCACAGGCGGCGGCGACCGCCGAGCCTAGACCACCGGCGACGACGCCGGCGGCGGGCGGCGACGGCGCGAGAGGCGGCGAGAGAGTGGAGAGGGAGGCTGTTCTCACCGAGCGAATGGGGCGGCGAGACGAAGACGAGGAGGTGGCCGGCGGCACGGATTAGGCGGCGGCGGGCTCACCGGGGATCAAAAGGAATGGAGCACCGGTGGGTTTTCGGTGGTTTGGAGCGGCGACCGATCTGTGGCTTGAAGCGGCCGAGCCGGTGAAGGAAACGGCACGGCTTGGCGGTGGCCAGGGCGACGGCAGAGGTGCGACTGGAGGCACAAAAGTGGCTGTGGCTCGGGTTCACCGTGGAGCGGGCGGCTCGGGGGTGGAATGGAGGAGCGGCGTGGTGGCCGGGCTTGCCGGCGGAGCAGCGAAGCTAGTGGTGGTGGCGGCGCGGCTTGAGGTGGACGGGAACGGCGGCAAGAGGCTGCCGAAGGCGGCGAAACGGCGGCGGTGCTCGGGTGAGCGATGGAATCGGTGTTTTGATTGTGGTTTGGGGAAACGGAGTTGCGGACGGTGTGCGACAATGCGTCGCGAGGCCGGTGGCGCAAGCGGCGTGGCGCGGGGACGGCTACGGCGGCGGAGGTGGCCGGCCGGAGATGGCAACCGGCGGCGGCGGAGGGAGGTTGGTGGTGGCGGAGTGGTTTCGGGCATGGGGAAGCTTGGGAAAGAGGGGGAAACGGAGGAGGGGAGCCCGGGGATCGTTTTTATAGCCTCGAGAGTCGACGGGGAGGCCGGTTGGCGACGGATTTGAAGGGGGAAAGGGGCGCCGGCGACGTGGGTGAGTGGGGGCAGTTTGGCGCCGGTTTTGGAGGGGAGAAGTGGGGGAAATGGTGGAGGAAGGGGATGACGTGGGGTGGACCGCGCCCACACGCGCGCGGGAATCGGAAGACGCGCGGGGAGGGGCGGCGACGTGGGCGGCTCGGGCGGCCATGGCAGTTGCCGGCCCGGGCTGGAGGTTGGGGATGACAGGTGGGGCCCACGGGTCCCACCTGTCGGCCTGAGTGAGAGGGGAGGCCGGGAGGGAGGAAAAGCAGACTTGCGCCAAAAGGGGAGGCAAGCCGGGCCGCGGGAGGGGAAGGAGAGAGGATTTTGGGCCGAGCCCGAAAGGGAGGAAGGGGAAGTTTATTTTGTTTTCTTTTTATTTAAATTAGTTTAATGAACTTTATGACTTTAAAATTATTTCTTGAACTCCGAAAATTCACGGAAAAATCCGGAGAGTATTTTAGGGCACAAAGAATATTGCAAAATATTCCCGGCCAATGATTTTTAAGGGAAAATTTTAATTCTCCCATTATTTCACTTGATTAAATTGATTTAACTTTTATTTAATTTCTAGAAAATGCATTATTTAATAATTTTTAAACCCGAACGAAAATCGGGGCGTTACAATACTCCGCCCGGTTCCATATATAATTGTTGATGTTTTGGACAATGACACAGTCTACAAAATATATATTTAACCTTGATTTTCTAATATAACTAGAAAAGATATCCGCGCGTTGCAACGGTAAAGCCAATTTAATTTGTACATATGTGTCGGTGGATAAATAATCACAACCCATTGTTTCGTTTTATTCATGTGCTTATCCGAATCATTTATTACTAAATAAAATAATATATGTGTGCAAATATTTTATATATATGTTCTTAGTGACTCAAAAACTATTATGGTAAAATAAAGTACAATAAAAAACCAAAAAATCGAATCCAAAATTAAGTTCTAAAGTTTAAATTTAGCTTATAAGAATAAGCATAAGCCAAATAATGAGGCCTTCAAATACGAGTTTGATTTGTCATCCAATTTTATCTCAAGTCGGGCAGGGACCGATGACGGACGGAATCAACAACTTTGATCCTCCTTTATTTCGATTGGCATGTTCTTTTTGAAAGTAAAAATGATTCTTACAGATTATTGTAATGGTATTCCTGGTAATACGTAAGAGCATGTGTGGAGACTGACTTGAACTAACAGGTTGCTTGTTCATTTTGGTTGTTTTCTTTTTTCCTCTATTTTTTTCTTTTCTTTCTTTCTATATGGTTTATAAGGGTAGAATGGTCATTTCATTTATATAGTTGCATTCGAGAATGACTTGGCATGCTAATAAGGCATATTTTGTGGGTCTAAGGACTATGTTAACCCAAATGATTAATTTGGAGAACTTGTTTTTGAAATCTCAATAACTAAACTGAGCCCGAAGTAGAAATTTAGGAGTAGGGACAGTGTTGGCTATTCAGAATTATGAAATCGAAAGGAACATATACTTTCTAAACTCTTCTCGTAAATAGGTTGTGTTTAGTTCCATTCAAACTTCCAAAAATTCCATCACATCAAATGTCTACACATATGCATGGAGCATTAAGGTGGTGTTTGAATCTCCTGAAGATGAAGATGAAGATTAAGTGTTTCATGCAAAACGAGGTGGTAATAACGTGTGATTAATTAAGTTTTAATTGTTATAAACTTGAAAAATGGATTAATCTGATATTTTAGAACAACTTTCATATAAAAAGTTTTTACACGAAACACACCGTTTAGCCGTTTGAAAAACGTGCCACGAAAATCCAAAATTTAATCCACTTCTTGTAGTGGAAACGAATATGAAATTGTACAGTTTGCATGTAAATTGCGAGACGAATCTTTTGAGCTTAATTACACCATGATTTGACAATGTGGTGATACAGTAAACATTTACTAATAACGGATTAATTAGTCTTAATAGATTCGTCTCGCAGTTTACGGGTGGAATTTATAATTTGTTTTGTTATTAGTCCACGTTTAATAATTTAAATATGTAACCGTATAATTAAAAAAATTGAAAAGGAACTAACACGGCCATAGTCGTCTTCCCTTTTCTGCAATGGCACGTATCTCATCAATGCTCTTTGGCCGAAGCTTCGGGACATCGGACGGCAGCTATCAACTTATCAAGCCACTTGCCATTGCCCCGAGGGGCCGAGGGGCTCCCACGCGGGACGGGACGACCACGCCCGTCCGACCGTCTGTTTCGTCCCCGCAGTAGGAAGAACGGAGACGGGCTCGTAGCCGTCCGCTTCCCAACCGTCGCAGTCGCAGTCGCAGCATCCACGCCACGCCACGCCACGCCACGCGTTTGTGTGTTTCACTCGAAGGCTCGCTCCACTCGAAGACCGAGGCGTCCACCACCACCACCACCACTCGAGTTCCCCCACGATCCCCAACCCTTCCTCCTCCGATTCGCCGCCGGTAGCTGCCAGCGTCTGCTCCCCGGCTCGCCGCGCGCCGGCCGGCGAGTGCACCGCGCGCGGGCGCTTGGTCGACGCTATCTCCGGAGTACTCCGCGTGGATTTGGGTGAATAGTGGCTCGTTTCGACAGGGTGACTTGTGCTGTGCTCGATCGCGGTCGTCGCTTGCTGTTGATCGACCGGTCCAGATCCGCGTCGTTTACACGGTGCGTGGCTGTTCCTCAATCTACGGGTGAGTGTTTTCTGAACGAATCGATCCTACCTGTTCGGGATTGCTTGTAGAAGAGACAAAAAGAGAGTGATGTTGTTTCACGCAACCGAGAATTAATTAATTAAATCGTCTGGCATGGTAGATTTTGCTGCGTGCGTAGAAAAGAGATTTCCTAAATTTGGGGATACTAGTGGACGATCGATCGAGCGCCTATTCTGTCGATCGGTTCGTGGATTCATGGCTTGAGCTCATGAGTTGGTTGGTACGTTCCCGCGTTTTGTAGATCGGACCTCGGACTCATGGAGAACCGCGTCGGTGAGTCGTCGGCGACCGCCGTCGATGGCGGCGGCGGCGCCAAGGACTCGGGCAGCTTCGAGTGCAACATCTGCCTGGAGCTAGCCCAGGACCCCGTCGTCACCCTCTGCGGCCACCTCTTCTGCTGGCCGTGCCTCTACGAGTGGCTCCACGTCCACGCGCACTCCCGCGAGTGCCCCGTCTGCAAGGCCGGCCTCGAGGAGGAGAAGCTCGTCCCCCTCTACGGCCGCGGCAAGGCCTCCACCGATCCCCGCTCCAGGTCGGTGGCCGGCGTCCAGATCCCCAGCCGGCCGGCCGGGCAGCGGCCGGCGACGGCTTCCCAGCCTGATCATCACCACGACCATTTGCCGCACCACGACCCGTGGTTCATGGGCGGCGCCGGCGCCCCTGTGGCCGGCGGTCGCTGGGGGAACTACACTTTCTCGGCGGCCATTGGGGGGCTTTTCCCATTGCTGAGCTTCCAGGTTCATGGGTTCCCGCAGGCGGCGGCGTATGGACCTGCCGCTGGGTTTCCTTACGGGTATGGACATTCGTTCCATGGCTGGCATGGCCATGGTTTCCCGCACCAGGCACCGCAGGGCCAGCATGTTGATGTGTTCTTGAAGGTATTGCTTGTTCTGGTTGGTGTTCTTGTGATTGCCAGCTTGATTGTGTTTTAGATGTGTGCAGTTAGCTATGGCCAATCCTCGGTGATGAGCCTGTATGAAACGGTTTTATTGTGTCAATATTAGGTAGTAGCTCCCACGGGTTGATCAGTGTGGAGAGATAGTACAAAGATGATGCTTCAGTAGTTACTAGTAGGATTCTGTGATAATGAGTGGTAGCTGATAATGTTGTCGTGCTTCTCGATATATTACTTGTGCAGTTGCAAGTCTTGTTTGTAGTTTTTAAGTGAAGTTTGAATCCTTGTTATCTTTTCATAATGCATTTGCATTCCAACCTTGTCCTGTGGCTGTCGCAAGGATAATATCTTGCATTATTTGTGTCATATATGGATTCTTGATTGTGCATATACATCAATACATCATTGGTTGTATCTGAAATCAGCACTTGGAATTTGTTTCTGAATTTAAAATATTGTACCGGACATTTTCTACTTTCTGTTCTCTTTATGTGCACATGGCCTTATTTTATCCCATACAAGTACTATATGAACTTGAAGTAATTTCTTGAAGTAATATCTGAATACTTACTTCTTACTGTTTCAGCATAGTTTGTTTAATCCGAGTCACCAAATAACCATAATATCTACCTTGCTTTGCATTTGGTGATCTGAGATAAACCAAGATGGTAATAAAACTTTATGTACCTTAATGGCGATGTATGTAACTTGTAATATTCTTCCCCGATCAGAAAACGAACTTGCAGTACTATTCAATAATGCAAAAAAAAATCAACTAAGATTATCTTTTTTTTACCTTGTTTTTTAGCTGGTGATCCATTGAGTGCAGAATCTGTGCAGTATAATTTAGACATTTGTAGTTCCATAAAACAGTAGCAATTTGACCTGTACTTTTTTTTGCTAGCCTGTACTCGCTCTGTAAAAAAAAAAGAGCAACTTCTAGGGATGAGTTCAGATTCATCCCTAAAAGTTGGCTATTTTCTCGGGCATATCAAAGGTCCAACAGTAATATCAATTTTGCATTTATACACTCAGTTTCATTTGATGGAAAATTTGTTTGAAACATGAGTACTATAGATGATGTTGGAACATACTTATTCTGTTTCATAAAAAAAATAAATTCTAGATATGAATCCAGACATCACCAAATACTTTGATTTTTTTTATTGGAGAGAGGGAGTAAATATCTCGAGACTCCTAAGGATGCTTTCAGATATTTTGGTCGGCTGTTGGCATACTGAATAGTAGATCCATGTAGCCATCACCAAAATAATTTGTACATGGAGCTCCATAATCCATAGGCCTCTCAGCTCTGAGTTTGATGTTTATCCAACCGTGTTTCTTTTTCTCGGGATTATCCAACTAATTCGGATTAATGGACTAGTAGTAATCTTACTAAGCTTGATTGTTGCAGTGAGATCTGGCGTTGAATCAGCCACTCAGCAAGCTGAACTCAAGTCTAGTTCATGGTCTCTCTCAAAAAAAAAAAAACCTGTTCATATGGTCCGTTTCTTTTGGGCCGGAAAGTTACTGTGACTTACCTGTGGGCTGTGGCAATATAAATACTGGGACTGGACTTATGAGTTAGTTCAGTGGCAATATCTCGGGAAAGTGATTTCACCGCTCAGGGGATATTCCTCGTGTCGAGCATGCCACCTAAATAGTCATAAAAAATATAAAAAATTTTGGCAACATAGATTAATATGAAATATATCACCCTTTTTTAAGGGAAACACTGTAGGGGAAGCCTCCACAGTTAATAAATTAAATTAAAAGAAGGAATACAAAATATTTACAAAAGGTTTATCCACTGAGATAAGGCTTGTCTCTCAAAAACTTTTAATCTAAAGACTAAAAGGGAAAGATCAATCTTAAAGAGAGCTTTCCAGGAAACAACCGAAGGTGGTACATTCTGAAAAATGAAAGCATTTCGTTGCTTCCAAATGTTCCATGCAGCATAGAGAATTTTTTCAACAAAATGAGTGGATCTATATGAGATCTTTGCCTGCAGCAGCATATCATCAAAATTGAGAGAAAGGTTCCAGACAATTCCCAGTTGCGCCCAACAATCTGAGCTGAATTGACATTGAAAGAAAAGGTGGAAAGATGTTTCCCTTGCTTGAGCTGGACAAAGGACACATGCTAGATTAGAATTTTCAGGAGGGTAGTGCCTTCTCTGCAGCATATCATAAGTGTTTAATCTGTCAATTAGGAGAAGCCAAGCAAACACCTTAACTTTCATAGAACATTTGCTTTTCCAAATCCAACTTAAGTACCCAGGGGCTTGAACATGCATGAAATTTATTGCATAAATTTTCTGTGAAGAGAACAGTCCATTCCCCCAGACATAAGCCCAAACATCTTTATCACCAGATAATAAGTTAAGGGGTCTGCTTCACTCATGGATTCATATTCCTGGAAAGCTTGTTCAGATAAAGGCAGAGCAAAAAGCTGTGCTATGCTTTTAGTAGAAGTTATGCTTACAGAGTCCTTGTGAGAGAGGGCAAAAGAGTGAATTCTAGGGTAAACAGCTGACCTGACTTTACCATTCCAAAAATCACTCCAGAACAAACAAGTTTTCCCATCACCCACTTTACAACTTGACAGACTTATGAAAATATCTAGAAATTGCAACACATCCTTCCACCAAAAGGAACCTCTTGGGCGAATAGCATGTGGTAATTTATCAGAGTAATAAGAGGTCCAAATCAAATTAACCCAAGGAATAGGATGCCTGTTGTAAAATTTATGCAAATTTATGAAATATATCACTTCATAAATATGCAAGTTTAAATTCAACTTCTACAAGTTGTAACAAAAATAACAAATATAGTTACAAATAACTATTTTCAATTTAATTTGTTATTTTTGTTGCAATTTATAGAAGTTGAATTTGGTCTTGCATGCTTGTGGAGTAATATATTCTGTATTAATCTATGTTGTCATTTTTTTCAATTTTTTTATAACTATTTAGATGATATGCAAACTATGAGAGGATGTCCCATTGAGAGATGAAAATCCACGTCCCAATATCTTCAGTTTTTTGTTCTCAACTGTGCATATCGAAATGGGATCTGTTTTTACGCCGGTGGGGATTTGAACAGCCCTCGACAATTCGGCCTTTCTTCTCCAGTGTCCAGATTACCTGGATCATCTTCAGAACCTTTGCTAGTGTAAGCGGACTTTATTTGCATTGCCCCAGATATCCACGGAGGCCTAGCTGCCTACTCTTTTTTCACATACGCGCAAAAAAATCACGTCATATTAGAAGAAAAAGAATTTTAGTTACACAACACAATCAGCCAGACCGGCTTATGTTAGGGGAAGGGAGAAAAAGCAAATGAAAAATAAACTGAAGCTTAGAGAAACTACGGTGGCTAAAAACAGACTTCAAGCAGCGGGAAGGAGCCAAGCCACGCTACACTCCTAACAAATCCTCAAAAACGGCGACGCCAGTTAAAGACCACATATGGCATTCCGAATGGATGGACTCCAGAACCACAAAAACTGAGGAGAGAACGGAGTCGAAAACCCTAGAGTTTCGCTCATACAGTTGCCAAGAGACCAGGAGCACCAAGGAGTCGAAGCTGTCACGGAGGTGCTCAGGTAAGCAGGCCCTGGAGGACGGCCACCAGTCCTGGAACCAGCTGCCACGGGGGAGAGAGGGCAGCCCAGCTAGGAGGCGACAACACTCAAAGCCAGATTTGCCGAGCGAACACGTGGTCGAGGAGGATGTGGTTCGCCGTCTCGAGATCCTGGGCGCAAAAGGGGAAGGCCGAGTGACTATCGATGCCACGTTTCTGGAGGAGATCAGCCGTCCAGGAGCACTGTTGGAATGCAAATCAAAGGAAGAACTTGCATTTGGCAGGATTCTTTGCGTGCTAGAGAAGATCAGCACAAGTAAAGGAATGCTGGCCATAGAAGAATGCCTGGTACGCCTAACGCGCTGAGTAGCGCTGGTCAGCCGTCTAGCGCCAAACGAGACGAACACCCGGTGAGAGCTGTACGTGAAGCACCGTATCCCAAATAAAGAGAAACTAGAAAATGACAGGACAACGAGGACACCGTGGATATTAAAGACCCATAAGTTGTTCGTCAGGCGGCCTAGCTGCCTAGTCAACTCAGATTCAGCATTCAGGAGAAGATTTCTGGGGGTTGATAAACTTCTCGGAGGCACACCAGGTCACCAGCACGTGTGCAAGCTAGAGCTACTGAGCTAACTAAATACGCCTCTGCAGAGTGTCGTAGTATGCCACACCGGCACGGTTGTACATCGGCTGGCCGCAACAGCGTTGCACGGGGAAATGGATTAGACGGGCTTATGTCGGAACTCAGGAGGAGCTCTATCCACTGGAAGTCAGGGGTGGATCTACAGTATAAACATCGGTGTCAGGCGACACCGACGACTTTCGGTAAAACCTAAAATAAAACTGGTTATCCATATACTATAACATTATGTTCTAAGTATAATTAGCATACTATGATATCGATATACACGTTATGATACTAACAAACAGATTTTCTGGATCCGCCCTGTAAGTCCACGGCCACCTACTCCATCGTCCACGTTGCGCGACCCTAAACGCTCTCCCCCCCCCCACACCTCAGCTAGCATGCTGATCGATCCGCCGTGCAACCGCATCCACAGTGCACGCACGCAGCTACAAAGATGTCGTACGACCACGACCGGTGGCTTGTCTGCTCTACGTTACACTGTGCGTGGCTTGTCTCTGCTCTATATGTGTACCGCGTCGTCGTGTGCACACACACACACACACAACCGTACTGAGGGTGGCGCGCGCACGGGGCTGAGGAGCGAAATGGCGCCGCCGGCGGGGACGGAAGCGGCTGGCGCTGGCCACCGCAAGAACTGGCGGGGCGAGTCCGGGAACCTGTGGCGCATCGCCGGGCCGGTGATTCTGACGGAGATCTTCCAGTTCCTCATCGGGTTCGTCACCGCGGCCTTCGTCGGCCACATCGGCAAGGTCGAGCTCGCCGCCGTCTCCGTCGTCAACGGCGTCGTCGAGGGCCTCGCCTTCGGCCTCCTGGTAAAAAATCACGCCAGGACGGTCAGTATTGATGTGATCGATCATCGCTAGGCATTTTGTTCATGGCGCCTGTCGCGCTCGTTTTGATCAGCTTGGCATGGGGAGCGCGCTGGAGACGCTGTGCGGGCAGGCGGTGGGGGCCGGGCAGCCGCGGATGCTGGGCGTCTACCTGCAGCGGTCGTGGGTCATCTGCCTCGCCACGTCGCTCGCGCTGCTCCCGCTCTACCTCCTCGCGTCCCCGGCCCTGCGCCTGCTCCGGCAGTCGGCGGCCATCTCGTCGGTGGCCGGCCGGTACGCGCGGTGGTGCGCGCCGCAGCTGTTCGCGTACGCCGTCAACTTCCCCATGCAGAAGTTCTACCAGGCGCAGAGCCGGGTGTGGGCCGTGACGGCCATCTCCGCCGCCGCGCTCGCCGCGCACGCGCTGCTCAACTGGCTCGTCGTCGCCAGGCTCGGCCACGGCGTCGTCGGCGCGGCGCTCGTCGGCGACGTGTCCTGGTGGCTGCTCAACGCGGCGCAGTTCGCGTACCTCGTCGGCGGGTCGTTCCCGGAGGCCTGGAGCGGCTTCTCGCGGAAAGCATTCACCAGCCTCGGCGGCTTCGTCAAGCTCTCCCTCTCATCCGCCGTTATGCTGTGGTTCGTAGCATTGTACATGCAGTTCAAGTTCCATTTCACGGTGAAAATTAGCAAAATATTTTTTTCATGGATGAATTGGTGCCTGCAGCTTGGAGATGTGGTATTACACAGCAGTGCTGATTCTGGTGGGTTGCCTGAAGAACCCAGAGATTCAAGTTGGTGCGATTTCAATATGGTTAGTACATCAATTAGCAATGTTCTGATATTTTTATACCTGGCAACGATTGAACATTAAGTTTAAACGATTCAACTTACTCTGTCGTAAACAGCATGAACTATCAGCTCTGGACACTGATGGTTGCAGTTGGCTTTAACGCTGCAGTGAGGTAACGCACTTATCCTATGCGTTGCTTCCACTCAACTCACTGGTAATTTTCTGAGCTCACACACATGCTTTGCCTGTCACATTTTTTCTGTCAGTGTTCGCGTGGCAAACGAACTCGGCGCGAACCACCCGAAAGCAGCCAAATTCTCGGTCATCGTCGCCGTGGTCACGTCGGCCGCCGTCGGGCTAGTTTTCACTCTGGTCGCTCTCGTGGCGAGGAAGCAGCTGCCGAGGCTTTTCACGGACGACGACGTGCTCGTCAGGGAGACTGCAAAACTGGGCTATCTTCTTGCAGCCACCATATTCCTCAACAGCATCCAGCCGGTGCTATCAGGTACAGAACCATTCTATAATCAAGTGAAATATATGCTCAAATTGCTTCAGGATTTGACACTTGTTGATGCAACTATGTTGTGCCATTGGTAAATGGCACAAATTGCAGGGGTGGCGATTGGGGCAGGGTGGCAGTCATCGGTTGCCTTCGTAAACATTGGCTGCTACTATCTCGTTGGTCTGCCTATTGCAGCCGTTTTTGGCTTCAGGCTGAGCCTTAATGCAACAGTAAGACAGACAAAGCCGGCGGTCTAAACTTTTATTTTTCAGTGATGATTTTCTTGCAGGGAGATGTGGTAACCGTTGTGTACTAACCAATGCAGGGGATTTGGGTGGGGATGCTGATCGGAACAATCCTGCAGACTGTTATTCTGCTTGTCATCCTCTACAGAACCAAATGGCAGAAAGAGGTACAGTGAGCTCGCTTCATCAAAGGACTAGTCGAAGCTGATCGTCTCGGCTTAGTTTCAATTTTTTTTTCAAATGTTTTTGGACGGCAGGCCATGCTAGCAGAGGAGCGGATAAAGGTGTGGGGAGGGGGTGTTGAGCTGCCAACCATTCAAGAAGCAAGTTGAAGCGAAAAGATTCTAACTACACATACTACAGATATAATAGAACGCTACGCGTGTCACATTGTTTGCTACGATTCCATTGCAATTGTGCATGGGCTGCGGTAAGTATGAATGTAGTATGATCGTTTTACAGCAGAGCAGAATAAAGATAAAGTTGGTCAATGTTCAGCTACTCAGATCTGTTCGACTCCGTCGACCACATGGCTGCGCGACATGTTCACTTACGGCAAGTACAGATTACAAGGCCACTGTATCTGGCCGTGACAACCTGACTAGCTTGGTGCTCGTCTAGTGTTCAGATATGAGCTCACGACAGCGTACGTCTGGGGTAACCGGCGTCGGGTGCACCGCGCACGCCAGAAACGACCGGGTTTCGCGACCTCGATCAACGTACGACCATGGCCTAAGCAAACACCGATACACCATGGATCGTCAGAGAAGAGATACAAATTAACTGATGTAATTGCATAAGACAAGGTACGGCGATTCATTACACGGATCAACGACACCGTTATCATGGGAGTGGTGACTTGTGAGCCTACTGAAGCTGAATTAACAATTTAAAATGCATCTATGGCTAGTTTGCACCAGACGGCGATCAGATCTTGTTGGTCAGCTTCTCGCCCTTGATGAGCGGGTTGGCGCGGGCTATGGCGTCGCGGCTGGCGCCCTTGAAGTCGAAGCCGCAGGCGTGCTTCTCCGGGTATCGGTGCGTCCCGCAGTAGGTAGCCCCGCATCGGCATGCGAACCCCAACAGTCCCACCTTCTTCTTGCACGACGCGCACCGGTTCGCCGGCGCCTTCTTCTCTACTACCGTCGCCGGCTCAGGGTTGTTCTTGGAGGAGAATGCGGCGCCATTAACCTCAGCGGAAGGCACGGAGCAGGAATCAGACGTAACTGCGCCGGTCGCGACGGTAGCGGCGCTCGCGGCGGCCACGGAAGAGGAGGGCCCCGTCGCCATCGTGGCGCCGTTGAGGAGGCAGTGCTGGCGGTAGCAGACGGAGCACATGTCGAGGGTGGCGGGGTTCCCGTAGAAGCCGCAGCCACTGGCACAGAGGACCGGTTGGCCGGCGCTCGCCTGCTGCTCCGACGACATCTTGATGATATTGGCGCGTAGAACGATCGTCTCTCTTGCTCTCGGGAGGAAGACGTACGTCTCCGGGGGCGCCGAGCAACAAAACGATCGATCGAAGCCTCGAAGGCGATTGCGCGTTTCGATTGAGGCGAACACGATAGCGTCGATGGGCCTCGGGGGACGTGGCTTTATAGGGCCTTGGTTGGTTACGACACGGAGTCGTAGTCCGAAATCGTTCACAACACGGACTGGCAATGATTCCGCGATTCTGTTCGGAGTCCGGCCACTTCTAGGGCCCTCTTGACTCAGGTAGGCCTCCCTCTTTACCGACCCAAACACATAGCGGCCTGCTAGCCCAAACACATGCAACGCGGCAGGCTCCGGAGCAAAGAATAAAGGCTATATTACCTCCTTGTGCTGACTCCAGCTAGTGATGACTCCAAGTCTGAATTTCCTTCCTCACCCACAAAATCAGGAGTCCCATTTTTTTTGCCTAAACTAGACACGCCGTATCCTTACATGTCAAAACCAGTTCAATTTATCTTTTTTTCTCTACACAGTGATATTATCCGATACGATAATCTATTTATACCTAATTAAAAATAAGTAAGGCTTCCGGAACGATTTTTCGTCCATCGTTGTCATCATCCACTACATTATTTTCTTCCAAACGAAACGGATGACTAAACTGTAGGTTCGCTTGTTTAGGATAGAACTCAATTTCGAGCTCGATACGAAGCGGATTTGCTCTGATTCTTGAGAAAACGGAAAGAGTAGGAGATGAGGATAGAAACCTCTCAATTAAGTTTGGATTATCTCCAAGGGTACGGCTGGATTTTACAGAGGAGGCAGTTTCAGGCGGCGTCAGGCACCCGAGGGAGTCCGGACGGAGGTTAGGGATGATACTGTCGCGATGGGTCCACGTGACAGTGTGAGAGAGAACAGGGGAGACCAATTAGACATTCGGTTGCTTGCTGGGCCGAACATGTGCTCACGGGCTGAGGTGGAGGAGAGAATAAGGGAGGAAGGTGGGCTGGCTCTTGTGCGGGTTGAGGAGGAAAATGAGCTATAAATGGCCCATATAGAAAAGAGGGTTTTTATTTAGATTTTTATTTAAATAAATACTAACATGGTGTTTGTATTATTAGAATTAGCAATTGGCCTCTAAAAATTCCAAGAAAAATTCAGAGAGTGTAATTAGGCTGTGTTCTTAAGTCTATGTTTCCAACCTCACTCTCTCGTTTACCGCGCGCACACTTTTTCAAACTGCTAGACGATACGTGTTTTGCAAAAAAAATCTATATAAAAGTTAATTTAAAAATCATATTAATTCATTTTTAAAGTTTTTTAAGCTAATAATTAATTAATCACGTATTAATCTATTTCTCCGTTTTTCGTGTCGGAGGTGAGGGTTCCCAACACTCACATAAGAACATAGCATTAATCATGGATAATTTAACAAAAGTTAAATCAGCATGCAATTTTATTTGTCACGCTTACTTTACCTACCTAGTTAGAAATACCCCAGTATTCCAGAAAAATTGTATTTTAGTTAATTAAATAATGTAAATCTTTCTCAACTTCTTCTCAATTTTCTTGTCTTTTCTTCCCTTTGTAACGCACGGGCAGTTTTTTAGTCCAGTTAGAAAAATAAAAGATACATGTTTCACATAACGTATTTCTTCCTCCTCTCTCTCTCTCCCTCACAGACTACCTTGTGGCAAAGGTAACACGGAGATGGGGCGGCAGTGCTCGAGTCGCTGGCACTACTGGCGACACCAGATAAGTAGGCCAACTCAGGGCCTACCTTATTGTTGCTGTTGAGACGAGAAGTTGCGAACATGGTGTTAGCGCCCATCTCAGCCTTACTCACATGCGTCGCTTCACCTACATTGATGCGACTCTCGTGCTGCACTTGTTGTCCCATTCCACCACACTCTTTGCTCTCTCATCACTAGGCATGACTTGTGTATGCTAGCATGCAACATTTGTCACGGTGAAAGCTTGTCGGAGGATGTGGAGACGTTTCTGCCGCACGGTGATGTGCACGGTTGTGGACCTACGACTGGCACAACGATGCGAGGAATATACTCGGTATTCTCGCGTGGGTGTCTCTCTGGTGGATTGCTACCGTTGCCATCGCCGAATGTACCCTAGCTCTACCATCATGTTTACCACCCTCATTTGGTTGTCTTTCATTTTCCTTTATTTTTTTTGGTTGATTGTATCGCCATGTAAATGTAACGTCAAATGAAACCCCTGTCAAAACCATCCGGGAAGGTTTATTGAATCGGTTTTAATAGTTGGACGATATGCTATTATATGCTATTATGTTTGATATTGTGGTGGAGTGAGGAAATTCAGATGCTCGTTCTACAGTAAAGGGTGGTGGACTTTTTTTACGGGTAAGGGAGGTAGATTTTTTTTCCCCGAACAAATCACGATGTTGGTTCGTCGTGATGGACATACAACTTTTTCTTCCCCTTGGACCAGCAGCACGAAAGCAAAACGTCGTTCCGGTGCAGGCGCAGCTCCGCTTTAACCACGCCCAGCGCGAGAAGCATCAGAACAGGTAACAAGGCAAGTTCCCTTCAGAGCCAGCGGCTCAGTAGTCCATCCCAGGCTCAGCTCCCATGCTCAGTAGTCCCGGCAAAAAGGGGAGCGCCGAAACTTACCAAAGGCCAGCACACGCGCCAGCCGCGCGCGGAGACGAAAAACTCTCACAATCAGGAATCAGCTCGCCATGCGGGCGCGCGCTCCGGCAAACGAGTGAAAGAGCGACCTTCCAAAGGGAGACACGCGCGGAGACCGAACTTAACTGGAAAGCTGATGAGCACTTTTCTCCCCGTGTGTTGGGCAAAAGTTGGACGACGTACGAGTAAACGTCGCACGAAACGCCTCGGTATCCCTACCTAGAGGCGGTACATTTTTCGATCGGAAGGCCAATGCTGTGCATAAGGGCATTAGCAGTGCGCGGTGAGTTTTTATGGAGCCTTCGTATGCCAACTAAGCTCAAAAACACCCAGGAATATTGTTAGCTACATGCTACACAGTGCATACTCCTTTAAGTGGGTCCCACTGTCTACCCTCACTTTTCATCTCTCCTCTATCTATTCCCCACCAGCCGAAGGTAGCGAGGCAGTGGCAGAGAAAGCGAGGCGGCGACCGGAGCGGGGCGGGGCGGTCGAGCGGCGGCGGCGGCAGGCGTTTGAGCATCGGCGGAGTGGTGGCGGCACCAAGCTCCACGCCTCCATCTCTCCTCGTCAGGCCTGGAGGCGACGATGCGGCGGCGTGGCCCAAGCTTCGACCGCACCGGGTGAAGCTCCCCATCTGGCGCACTGCCGCTTCCTCTCCCCGTCCGGCCTCCTCCCTCGGTGGCAGGCATGGATCGGGGGGCGGCGCGGCCGGTGAGTCTCGGCCGGCGCAGATTGGGGAGGACGACAACATCGGCATCGACGCTTCTCCCCTCCCTCCCTCTTCTTCACCTCTTCTCTTGTGGGCCCCAAAGCTGCGATTCTGACGAAGAACGGGGAGCCAAAATTGGCGAGGCTCCAAGCTATGCCTAGGTGGAGGGGAGTCTCTGAGCTGGCTGCATGAGAGAGAATGACATCTACGTGCACTGTGAATAGCCTCAGTGCGTGCCTTCCCTCCAGGATACAATGCGAAAGAGTATTTTCTGAACGGAATTGCTATACATCTTACGACAGTTTTTGAAGGGAAAATCTTTTGATTTTTGGGCCATTGATCCATCCTGACATTCGTGCATAGATAGATTGGGAAAAAAATTAACAGGGATGACGTGAGCTAAGGGGATCAATCCCGCTTGCTCTGTCACTCCATTGAACCATCCTCATCACTGTGCTAGCACTAGTTTTACACTCCACAAATCTACACTCTAGTTATACATCATGTAGGTACATTGTACTATAGTGTACTATACTGTAAGTGTAGTTATATTGTAACTACACTAACTTATTAAAGTAATATAAAAAAACTCCGCATTCGCTCTCACGGCATAGAAATCTCATATTAATCGGAGAAAAAAAATAAATTTCATATAGAAACATAATTTAAAAATTACCTAAACTCGGAACAAAATAAGAAATATTAGAAAAAGAGACTAGAGTCCATACATGTATACGATTTAGAGCTAAGAGAAAATTAAAGTTCATATAGAAATAAAATTTTAAAATAGCCTAAATTCAAAATTAAAAAAAAAAAGAATATTGTAAGAGGAGACTAGAGTCCATTCAGGTATGCTATCTAGAGCTAATTAAAATTTAGAATTAAACAATAAGGAAACTAAAAGTAGAAGTTAGAATCCATATAAAAATATAACTTAGAAATAACTAAAATTCGAAATTAAAACATAAAAAATATTTAAAAAGGAGTCTAGAGTCCATATATGAGTACAATTTAGAAATAAATGAAATTCGGAATTAAAAAATAACGAATATTGAATGATAAGTTTAGAGTACATATAGAAATACAATTAGAAATAATGGAAATTCATAATTAAAAATAACAAAATATTATAAGAAGATTCTAGAGTCCATAGAGGAATTTAAAACTAATTGTAAGCCAGACTTAAAAACATTAATTTAGAGAAAACTAAAATTCAAAATAAAAAATAAAAAAGACTAGGAGAAGAGTCTAGAGTTCATATCATATAGGAATACAATTTAGAAATAACTAAAATTTAGGATTTAAAAATAAGAAATATTAGGAGAAGAGTTTATATAGGAATATACAGTTTAAAAATAACTGAGATTTAGAATTAAAAAAATATTAAATAAGAGTATAGAGCTCATATAGAAATACAATTTAGAAATAACTTAAAAAAAGATCATTGACGGAAGGGTTTAGAATCTATATAGGAATAAAATTTATAAATAATAGAGAGCAACTAAAAAGTAAGAAATATTGTAAGAGTAGACAAAAGTCCATATATGGATACAATTTAGAAATAACTAAATTAAAAATTAAAAATAGTTAATAACTATCACGTATATACAATACAATATTAATATTATATATTGGTTAGTTTGGTTAAGTTAATACAAAATTACTATTTTAATATATTTTAATAATAAAAATTAAAAATATACGTATTATTTGAGGAAAAAAAATATAACAATATTAGCCGTGCAGATTTCGCGGCTGTAACGGACTCTCCCAGGGCGGGCTCGCTTACATCTGATAGCCTGGTGTGCACCCGGGAACACCAGGAAGAATTTCCCGGTCGGTCACCCATCCCAAATTGCTCCAGGCCAAGCACGCTTAACCCTGGAGTTCTTTGGAGATTGACTTCCGGAAAAAAAGTTGCAACTTGTTAGTATGAGTATTCTATTAATTCTATTAAGCCCTAGGCCGGGATGTTACACCCTCGCCCCCTTAAGAGAGATCGACGCCCCCATCGATCAACCCCAGGCCAGGAACGTCCTCTCTTGGCCACGTCCATGTGTCCAGTGCCAGCGCATGTGCCATGCTGTGTAACCACTCCCGGTCGTCCTCTCTTGGCCACGTCCATGTGTCCAGTGCCAACGCATGTGCCATGCTGTGTAACCACTCCCGGTCTATACCAGCCATGCGCACCATGCTTGCGCAACTGCGACACACGCGCCCATGAAACCGACTCACGCGCCCATGAAACCGCGAGAGTCGGCTCTGATACCATTTTGTAACGTCCCGCCTCTCCCAGGCCGGGCCCGCTTACACATGTCTTTTCTTTGTCCTCACTCGTGTGCACCCGGGAAGAATTTACCGGTCGGTCACCCATCCCAAATTGCTTTAGGCCAAGCACGCTTAACCCGGGAGTTCTTTGGAGATTGGCTTCCGGAAAAAAAGTTACAACTTGTTGATATGAGTATTCTATTAATTCTATTAAGCCCTAGGCTGGGATGTTACATCCTCACCCCTTAAGAGAGATTGACGCCCCCGTCGATCAACCCCAGGCCAGGAACGTCCCATCTTGGCCACGTCCGTGTGTCCAGTGCCAGCGTATGTGCCATGCTGTGTGATCACTCCGGGTCCACACCAGCCATACGCACCATGTCTGCGCAACTGCGACACACGCGCCCGTGAAACCGCGAGAGCGGCTTATCATCCTAGTTATGTCGTAACTACATTCTAATCTTTATATATCTTACATATAAAGATTAGATTTGAAGTTTTTCACTCAAAAGCAGTTTTTTAAAAGTACCTTTTCTAAATAGGTGCATTTGCAGTTTTGCATCTAGGCTAGGGTACTGTCCATTGACAAGAACAACGCTTTTTTTCAAACCCCTCGATTAGGCGAACAGTGTCCATTGACGTTTCTAAACCCCTCGAGTGGTACTTAGAAGCCAAATTAAGTGCAAGTGTTCCCCGCAAAATACAAAAATAGAAAAGAAACGTACGTCAATGGACACTGTTCGATATATACATATACTCTATGACTAACGTCAAAGAATTAAGTGCAAGTGTGCAACATGGTCTATATATATACACTCTATAATTAATGTGATAAACTGGTACTAGTAAATATCTAGAGCAGCACCTATCACGGTGCGATCAGTGACAAATTTTACAACCTTATCTTCCGGCACATCGTAAAGCTATATGCACGTCACCAGTAAATTTAACCAACCACGCATGCAACTATGCAAGAGTATATGCAACTACGAGCTGCGGGATCGCAATTTTTTTGTGGGCGTTGCCCGTGCCATGAGCCCATGAGTCGTCTCTCCCCTCCTCTTTTGCTAGCGGAGGAAGCTTCCTCTCGCCTTCCTCCTGCACGGCCTGACCGAACACCTGACGTTATCTCCCTCGGGCCTCTGCTCGCCTTTCCGGCCGCCGCGAGTAGTGGTTCAGGTGAGAATTGTGAGATCGGTGGTGAACCCGCCCCCCGGCGACGCATGCAACTTGCGATTGATCATTCAGAAAAAACGAAAAAAAAGGTTGGGTACGAGTGTTGTGTGATTGCTGCGCATCCACCTGACAGATGGGAACAAACGCAGCCAACGTATGCGTGCATGGTCAATTGCGATAAACATGTGGCCATTTGATCGGCAACATGTACATGCATGCGTGCGAGGATCAGGTAAATTGAGCGCGTGGGCGGCTGCTTTGTGCCATCGACCTTGTGGCGATATCTGATTGGGATTTTGCGAGATTTAGGAAGTAAATAATTAATCACGGCAGCAATTTGGTATAGGAGGCCGGCCGCCTTTCGAATTGCAGCTCTGTATTGGAGAGGGATAGTTATACGAGGAATAATCACGTAATATCCATGCATGATTCCTCTTGTATTCACGGCTTGCGTCTTGCATGAGCATCACACCACTTACAGCGGTGTCCTCGATGTTTCAGGGGTGTCTGATCGAACCAGCACTCGAGCGCAGTATTTTGTGGTTTTGTCTGATTGGTATCTTACGCGTGTATATCTATATATGTTAGTGTACTCCAAATGTCCACAACTCCACATACTATGCTAAGCACTCTCTGTTGCAAATGTTAGGAACACATGCTGCCCACCGGAGATGCCGAAACCACAGAAACAATTCATTATCTGCATAAATGGGAGAGTTAATTTATGAGGGGATATACACACATTATTTGTATGTCATTTATATGGTTTAGAAAATAATAACATAGATAATTGTGCGATGTATTTCCTCCGTTTCATATTATAAGACTTTCTAGCATTGCCCATATTCATATATATATTAATGAATCTAGACATACATATGTGTTTATATTCATTAACATCTATATGAATGTGGATAATGCTAGGAAGTCTTATAATATGAAACGGAGGGAGTATCACTTTATCAATATGCAAGTTTAAATTCGATCTGCATGCTAAAAAAAATCTTTTGTTTGCGAGGAAGAAAATAACGAATGAATAATACTTCTACTACTCAATGTGTAGATTGTTTCTCCTCTCATCCTATGAAGAAAATTTTAAGTTATTCTTTTGGGGGTGATAGTTCATTAATGCATCAATATTATCATTTTTAAGATTTTGTTATAGGTATTTGGGAGTTACAAACAAAAATAAACATAAGGACATATCTTTAGGGGGGGGGGGGGGAAACCAGTTCCCCACGAAGCAAATGGTCTTCCAAGAAATGCACCATGAGAACTTCCAACCTAATAAGTTAGTAATAACTTGCCATGGTTCATATCTATACTATTTTAAATGATGTTAGTGGTGGTGTCCAAGTCTACACCAACACCAGAAACTCAAACTAGCTATCATAAACATAAGGTACCCACAACATGTCAATGACTCTAGAATTATTAATTCAAGAAATTATAAGGGGTTACATACAAAACCTTTAAATTCACCTTTCATCTACAGATGAATTATAAGCTTCTAATCTTGTATTATCCGACCGTACGTATAACTTGTGGAAATAGATAAAAAGAGGTGATCTAGCAGTATATTTCCGTAGGGTTGCTTGTGAAGATGAAATTATATGCCTAATTAACTAACTATACTATAAACCTGTAATTTTTGCTTTTACTTTTATCTTTAAAAATATCCGTTGCAACGCAGCTAGTTTCTCAAAGAAAGAACACATAATGATACTTCTAGAAAGAACACATATTTATGCTTCTACGTATGGTTATTCTGGTTTGATTTCTAGCTAGTGATTGTCACTTCATTCGGAACCTCAATCACTTTCTGTTATTTAGAACGAGTCATTTCTCATTAAAAAGAGCGGAAAACAAACAAACTTTTCTGGCTGTTACCTGCTAGTGACCATTGGTGACTAACTCGCCAAACATGCATGGACTGATGGGCCATTGGATCGGTCGATCCTTCTGACGGAAAGCAAGAAAAAACAGAAAAAGTAGGGTGAAACTTCCCCTGCTGCGTGCTGCCGGCCGCCGTAAAATACAGCACTTCGCATTGCGAGTCTCGCGCCTTCCTCCGCTATATATACGCTCGCACACTCACGCTGCCTCCTCACTAGCTAAGCTCGGGAATCCTAAGTAAGTGAAAGCTTAGCTAGCTTCGCATAAATCCAGCTCTCTCTTGCTAATGGCGGGCGTCGAGGTCTCCAAGCCGTCGAGGCGCCTGTCGCCGAAGGGGAGCTTCAAGCTGAGCCTGCCCAGCCTGCTGGCGTGCGGGCAGTGCAAGGCCACGGCCGTCTCGCCGCCGGAGTCCCCCACGGGCGTCGGCGCGAGGTCGTTCTCCTCGTCGGCGTCGTCGTCGGCGGGGACGTCCCGGGGGAGGGAGCGCGACCGCCTGGCGGAGCTCCGGGAGATCTTCGGCCACTTCGACCGCGACATGGACGGGCGGATCTCCGGCGACGAGCTCCGCGAGTTCTTCGCGTCCATGGGCGACGACTCCGGCGCCGCCGCCGCCGCCGCCGCGGCGATGGGGCTCGACGGCGCGGCGGGCGGCGGCGAGAGCGGCGGCGGCGGTGGCGGGCTGATGCTGGCGTTCGAGGACTTCGTGCGGATCGTGGAGCGGAAGGGCGGGGAGGAGGAGGAGCGGGAGGACCTGCGGCGCGCGTTCGGGGCGTTCGAGGCGGTGAAGGGGTCCGGGAGGATCACGCCGCGCGGGCTGCAGCGCGTGCTCAGCCAGCTCGGCGACGAGGCGTCCGTCGCCGAGTGCGAGGCCATGATAAGCGCCTACGACGACGACGGCGACGGCGAGCTCGACTTCCACGACTTCCACCGCATGATGAGCCAAGACTAAGCTATAGCTCCGCCGTGCGTGCGTGTTCCGCGCGCGCCGTCCGTCGCCGCGTCGTCACGAGGAAATTTGCCTCCGCGGGTTCGATCGTGTCTGTTCGTGTGTGTGCTGTTGTGTACGTGTTCGTGCGGGTTGTGGGAGGCCGGCTGTGACTATGTGAGATGGAGTGTGTGTTTTGGTCGCGTGATCGTATCGATGTGCGTGCGTGCGTGCGTGCGTGCACGCCGCGCGCGGCGCGGCGTCGTACGGTTGTCTGCTTCGATCGGTCGATCTATGTATATGGTGCACGAACGCGGGACGCCTTAGCAATTTAGCTGTGCTTTGTTTAACACGAAGCCAGCATGAGTACTAGTAAAAAAAATTCCCTTGTACCTCTAGCTAGGGGCAGTATCTGTTTTGTCTTCTTCCACTGATCGGTGCACCGATGCCACGAGTTGCTTTGGCTCGCCATGCCAAGAGTCCGTGACTTCGCCTTAGTCGAGGTCGTGCTTTCGTGAGGCTACTTAGTGTCTTGCAGAGGGTACGGGTGCCCTGGTTGAGCTAAGGTCATTAGTCAGGGTTTACAAAACCGACAACATTCTTTCTGAGGTCATAGCCAACGCTCCAGCATGGAGCGTGGTCTCATCCTTCCTGAGACGAATATTCACGCCAGCTTGATCGATACCACACCTTGGCAGAGTGCCGCGACACGCAGTAGAGGGCCAGGTAGTTTCATCAGCTTATCGTTGTTTTTGGGCGAGGAACGGGCAAGGAGCCGCGTTGGGGAGATGCCTCACCCCAAGCCGTTGCCCCGCGTCGTTGTTGCTCCTACCCCGAGAAGAAGATGGAGAGGGAGAGGAGAGTCGCCGTCGGGGAGGGAAGAAGAGAGGAGAGGCCGCGATGCCGCCGAGGAGGAGAGCTCGAGCAGAGGGAAGAGGGTGGAGGAGCTCGGCGGAGCTCGAATGGTGAAGTAGGACGGCGTGGGGAGAGGGGATTTTGGGGTGTTGGTGGGAAAAAGGGGGAGGGAGGAGAGATTTTATATTAATTTCTGTATTTTTAGGTGTTTAGCGTAAAATTTAAACTTCTATATCTCTATTTTTTTTACTTAAAAAATAAGAGTTGCTTCCATCGTCTGTAAAAAAACCATGGGAGAAAAAAACCGTGCGAAAAAAACCGGACCAAAAAAACTATGTCCGATAAAAAAAACGGACGAAAAAAATCCGCGGGCGAAAAAAACCGTGTGAAAAAAAAACCAAACATGTCCGATAAAAAGGGCGAAAGAAGGGAAAAAAAATGAGTCCGATCAAAAAAAAAGTAGGGACGAAAAAAAGGAAAAAAAAAGAAACGAATCTGACTCGGTCTACACGGTAAAAAAGGGTGAAAAAAGGAAAAAAAATTAAATGAATCCGACTCTGTCGACGCGGTAAAGAAAAGGGTCAAAAAAAAAAAGTACATGTCCGATTCCAAAGAAAATCGAATCCTATTATATGTGACATGGCGTGGTAAAAAAACAAATCGAATCCGATTCCATCGACGCGGTAAAAAACAAGCGTAAAATTTTTTTTGTCCGATTCCAAAAAAAAAAGTTGCGAAAAAAGTTTTCCGTTTCTCTCTCTATCTCTATCTGTATCTCTATATCTACTACTTAAAAATTAAAAAGTATTTCCATCGTCCATCCGTGAAAAAAAAGCGTGAAAAAGAAATCGGGCGAAAAAAATCGAATCTGATTATATGTGACGCGGTAAAAAAAATTAAAGACGTTTTTGACATCCGTAGTAACGAAAAAAGGGCGAAAAAATGAAAAAAAAAAGAAAGTCCGATTCAATATCTATATATTCCTAATTAAAAAAATTTGTATGGCTTATGGGTTATAGTTTTCATCCATAAAAAAATTCCATCGCACGTGCGATCGATTCCGCTTTAATCCCTCTCCGATGGCAAAAAATAAAAAAAGAAAAGAAAGAAAAAAATGAGACACCGTATCAAATTTGGACCTAAATTCTAAAGAAAACACTACTACAAGAATACAAGATCAGATTCAAGAACACCAAGAAAACGCCGACACCGGAAGGGGAGGGTGTCGTCGTCGCTGCTGAACCGCCACCGCCGTCGCAGGGATGTCGGATGTCGGGCCGCCACCACATTGTTTTGAGAGAGGGGGGAGGGGAAATGTTTTAGGGTTAGGGTTTGGGCTGTTGAACTTTTATATAGGTCGGGATGACCGTCTATCAGATCGGACGGCTCTAGCTTCTCTCGTGTCAGGCCGAACGCCATTCCCAGGCCGCCCACACGGAATAAGTTCACTTTATGTCATTTAAGTTGTTCCTACCCGATTCTATTCCCAGGCCACCCACACTATTGGGCCGCCTCATGGACCACGTGTACGCTCCGTATAAAACAAGTTCACTTTAGGTCACTTCAGTTGAACTTTTTTATTTCATTATAAATATATTTTCTTAAAGAGCTCATATCATGTAAAACTAAACCTTAATCATATAATATTTTTATATTTCTTATAATTTTAATTACCCATCGCAACGCACGTGCATTTTTTCTATGTCAAAAAAAAAAGATCACGACATACGAGTGAGAGATATATATCACACACACCCGCAGGCTCATGTTTAACTGAACTGGCAACAGATTTTCAATTACAGGTCTAATTGTTTTATTTAGGTGATTAAATTTGTTTTCATTTATATAATTAGTTTGCTCTATTTAAGCCTTTTGAAAATTGCTAAAATTTGAGAATAACTTTTCCTACTTCGTATTATATTATTTTTTGCTAATGGAATTAATAGAAAATTAATTATATATTTTTATCTTTTTGACCAAAGGTCACTGCAATTTTATTTTATTAATATTATTATTATGATTATGATTCCTTTATTTTTGTTCCACCAGTATACATGATTAAAATTACCTTTACCCATTGCAACGCACGTGCATCATTGCTAGTAAATTGGAAAATTGTGAGTACTAAAGTGAAAAACACTAGGGGCTGAAATAAAAAACGAGACTACCACATGAAGCAACTTGCACCGTGGGAAATTAATTAGCTTTTTGGGGGGGTGTTGCCCCATCTACTTGAGCGTATCCCTTGCGTTGGCCATGCCTTAAAAGCTATAGGCTGGGTTTGAGGTTGTGTCGATGTTGTGAACAGATATACTCCCTACTAGGTTGTTATATGATATAAACTTTGGTGGGGGAGGAGCTCCCTTTTTTTTTTGTGAGGGCCTGGAATGGGAAATAGCAAATGGCAAAAGTTTTGGTGACAACAAAATTGGCATTGCAAAAATACTAGTTAGTGTTTAAATGCATCTTAAAGTTGTCATTTTAGCACTAAAGAGAGAGAAAAAGAGAGAGGGTGTGGTCCCAGAGCACTTTTTAGCAAAATTTGCTACCATGAACTAGCAAATGCCAAATATCAAATTGCCACCTTTTGCTGTTAGTGTTTAGATCTAAAATGACAAAAAGAACTCTAAAATATCAAAAGTTTTACTATTTTAGAGTATCTAAACAGGCCATGAGACTTGCTGGTTAGCTGCTAACCCCAGCGTGTGTAGTGTTTTTTTTAACTTAAATCAGCGTGTGTACTATTTTTCTTTTACTTAAATCAGCGTGTGTACTGTTGCCTTGGGTTTAGCTGTTGTAAAAAAAAATGTTTATTTATTTTGGGAAGGCTTGGTTTCTAAAGGTAGGTAATGGATGTTTAGCTGTTGTAAAAAAATGTTTATTTATTTTAGGAAGGATAAAGTAGGAGTAAGGGGTGTTTAGATAAGGGGTATAAAGTTTTAGCGTGTCACATTGAGTTTTATATAGGGTGTTGCATGGGGTGTTTGGACATTAAAAAAAACTAATTACAGAATCCGTCAGTAAATCGTGAGACAAATTTATTAAGCCTAATTAATCCATCATTAGAAAATGTTTACTGTAGTGCTACATTATCAAATCATGGAGCAATTAGACTTAAAAGATTTGTATCACAAATTAGTCGCAATTTGTATAATTAGTTATTTTTAAGCCTATATTTAATATTTTATAAAGGTGTTCAAATGTTTGATATGATAGGGTGAAAAATTTTAGGATGAGATGTAAACAGTGCAAACTTCTCCTAATAGAATCCTTGTGTTTCTGAGCAATTTCTCTGCAATTCTCCGAAGACAAGAGTGTACTCCTACTCGGCTACTTGCACGACACAACACGTGCGGCTCGACCGTCGTCCGGACTCATGACGAGTGTCACACGGCGCGCGTATAAAAACCGCATCGCCGGCTCCAACGGTCGGCAAGATCCAAACCGGTTCAAATCCCCAAGCCACCGTCTCTTCCCATCTCCCCATCATCCCACCCCCCCGAATCGACACCCGCCGCCGCTCCGAACCATCAAATCAACCCCCTCGCCGCCATGGATTTGCCCAAGCGAGTTCTTCCGCATGGTGAGTGGGTGCTGCCGCCCGGATCTAATCTAATCTAAGTCTCCTCTCCGCGTATAATTCCCCTCAATTTTCGGTTGCTTCGTCGCTCAATCCGCTTTTACGCGCCGTGTGCAGGTTCCCCGCGAGGAAGTCCCATGGCGACGAGGCGAAGGGACGCGGAGGCGGACGAGAACGTGAGGGCGTGGAGCGAGAATCCGGGGCGTCTCGGTGCCGTGGCGGAGTGGACCGCGTCTCTGGAGAGGAAGAAGGTGCTGGGTGAGAGGAACGGCGGAGGCGACGGGAGCGGGGAGGCCGCGTCGCCGCCGCAGTTCTTCTCCCAGGCGAAGCCCGCGACGAGCCCGCCGTCGCTCTCCTGCCGCGGCGAGGGGCCGTACGACCCGAAGACGAACTACACCACGCCGCGGCCGGAGTTCCTGCGCTACAACCCCGAGAAGCGCCGCGAGATCCTCCTCCGGCTGGAGCGCGAGGCGGAGGACGAGTCGTCCAGTGCCACCTCGGCCACCCCCACCCCCACCCCCTCGGAGTGCGTGTCCTCCGGGTCGTCGGTGAGAGGCGGCGAAGCCGAACTCGACCGCGCCGACGCCAAGGAGGAGGAGATTGAGATTCCGTCTCCTCGTGGTCTCGACCGCGCCGACGCCGAGGAGGAGGAGATTGAGATTCCGTCTCCTCGTGGTGGGTGGGCACGGCGGCTGCTTCTTCTGCTCGTCGCCGCGGCCTGCTCTTGCTGCTACATCTATTGTATGAGCTCCTCTCCCTTTCCTACCTCACAAATGGGGCTCGATTTTGCTGGAACAACTGGGAGCGTGCATGATGCTAGCGCTCATCAAGTAGGTTCTCTGGAGTTGCGAGCACCAACTGAGATGATGGGTTCACATCATGTGTTTGAAGAAGCTACAGATCAAACTGTGCCCAACGGCAGTGAAAATGCAGCCCAACTGTATGGCCCCATGGGTGGTTCTCGTAAAAACTTCATGGCGATTGCTGCGATGGGTTTGGCAGATTCATGCCCAAATGTTCCATTCGGAGAATTTACATGCCAAATTGGGGACAGAGCCGTGGAGGATGTGCAGAATTCCAAGGAAGATTTTCAACTGAGTGAATTGATGGTTGCAACCTCTGAGAATGCCGAGCAATTGGGTGAAGTTGTAAGCCTGAATGAAAATGTCACTGCAGATTCCATTGGTTCAACCTACACCGCTGATATGGTGGAGGGAGAGTCAGGGTTAGTTCATCAGGAGGAGGCAGGGGAGGATCACTCGCAACACTCCCAGCAGTTGGCCTCCATGGAGAAGACAATAGAACAAGAAAACAACGAGGTAGGGTATGATGGAGAGGGCCTGGAAAATGACAGATTGGATCAGGCAACCGAGCTATTGGAGTATGAGAATCCAGCTGCAGCTGCAAAGGCAATAGTAGCTATGGTAAAATCACTGTGGCCTTCAATAAAACTTCACTTGATGGAGATCTTGGCGTGCTTTTCTGTTGCAGCATTTGCAATTGCAGCTGCTATGCTCAAGTGTTTCCAGAGGTCTCCTAAGGGTGCATCAGTGTCAACACGTAGGCTTGAACAATCCCCTTTAGCTCCAAATCCAAGATTGCCAGTGCTCCCTTCACCACAATCTGTGCTACAACCTGTGCAACTGACAGTTCCCAAAGTAGAACCGCCTGTCAATTTGAAGATCCCTACACTATCACCTTTGCACAAGCCTGACCTATTTGCCAGCTTCAGGGAACAGGTGCCATTGCCAGAGCCCATACCAGTGTCATCTGTCAACCTCAATAATGCTGTGCAATTTCCACTGCCCAAGCAGATTGATTCCGGGAATCGTCCTCAGAAAGTTCACCAAGATGATGCTGGCAGTGCTAGGATTCCAGACAGCTATTCTGTTGGCCGTAGAGACATTGACAGCTCGAGACCTCCAGTGGTGGCATTGCTTGGGGAGTTCTCACTTGTGGATGCAAGTAGCTCAAGAGGAAGCTCCCGGAAAGGATCAAATGAACATGCTGGGGATGTTGCAGTTCAGGAACCATCAGTAACTCTGAGAAAAGATGTGGTGAAGATGCAGAAGGAAACTACAGCAATTAAAAGCCCTAGTGCTCGAAAAACGAAAAAGGAGGTAAAATTCAGTGTCCTCAAACACTTATCTTTACACCTACAGGCTACACATAGTGTTCAGATGCTTAGATAAGTCTTTTATCATCATACTGCTGACATTAATATGTTTCCATAATGGTCAAGCATTTGTTTTAGTACACAATATCGAGCTGTGGGTAGCAGTGCTACTTATTCACTTCCTTTTGTTTTCTGCATCAGGAAAATGCTGCAAAGGTGGAGAAGAAGGATGTTACCACGCCAACTCCATTGAGACGCTCAAATCGTCTCCTTAACCGGGTGACTTCTCCTTGAGCCAGAATGACACATTAACACTGTCAACAGATGCTGATCCTTACTGTGGAGTGGAGAGAGTTTCGGGACTACAACTCCTGGCTGTTACCCAAGCAAGTTAGCTTTTCTTCTGTAGCACTTCGCAAGTTAGTTGACGTACAAGACTGCAGTAATAACTCATTTAGTCCTCTTCTCTCAAAGTACCCGCGGAATCTCATTCGCTATATTCATGATGCTTTGATGTTCATGTACTACTCATTTTCTACTCCTGACGGTAAAAACCTGTAACTGATGGATGTATTGGATATATGGTTGTGTCCTGGTTTACCTAATTGAGTCAATCAATATGCTTCTGAATCTGCTGATCGCTTAATGCGCCGTGTAAAGACTTTGAGAAGAGTTGGTCAGTCGATTGATGTACCAGTAACAAAGGATTATTACTGTTTACCTGGGTATTTATTAGTGTAGTAGGTATGGCTAACTCTATGGATTAGAGCGGACTGGGAGTATAACTAACCATATCTTCACAGCCCACGGATTTTATTTCAATTTTCATGTCAATGCGAGGGACCTAGTCCAAAACCACCTGTACACTGTTCTCTCTAAAAAAACACAGCCGTATGTGGAAGTGGAACCCTGGAATTGGCAACAACATTATCCCGAAGCGTCCCATCCACGCGACGCGGCACAACCTCCCGCGCCCAACACACTCACCATTCCGGACTGGGGACATGTCACGGGGAATGTAACCGAATCCCAATCCCACCATTCCACGGTACAAAAGAGAGAAAAAAACACCCGCCGCAACGCAAACACACACACACACAACAACAACAACAACCAAAAATCCAAGAAAAACCCCACCGTCTCGAGAGGCCGCTCAGCCATGGAGCTCGCGGAGGCCGTCCGGGACGAGACAGCCATGGCCATGCGCCTGCTCGGCCACCTCGCGCGCGCCCCACGCGGCGGCGGCGGCGACAAAAACCTGGCCGTCTCCCCGCTCTCGCTCCACGCGGCGCTGGCGCTCCTCGGCGCGGGGGCCCGCGGCGAAACGCTCGACCAGATCATCGCCTTCCTCGGCCCCGCGGGTGGCCCCGCCCACGCGGCGCTCGCGTCCCACGTCGCGCTGTGCTCCCTCGCCGACGACAGCGGCCCCGGCGATGACCGCGGCGGGCCCAAGGTGCGGTTCGCCAACGGCGTCTGGGTCGACGCCGCGCTCCGCCTCAAGGCCGCGTACGCGCGCGTCGTCGCCGACAAGTACCGCGCGGAGGCGCGCCCGGTGTCCTTCCGAGACAAGGTGAGCCCCCGCGCCTGACTAACAAACCTCTCCTCCATCTCCATGTGATTCATCCATCCATCGAAATATTTTGGTTCTTGCCGCAAAAATTACGATATAATCTCTCTTGGTCGATGGATGCACGTACAGCTAGAGGAAGCGAGGCGAGAGATCAACGAGTGGTTCGAGAGCGCGACGGCCGGCCGGATCAAGGACTTCCTGCCCAAAGACGCCGTGGACCGCGCGACGCCGGCCGTCCTCGGCAACGCGCTCTACTTCAAGGGCGACTGGGAAAGCAAGTTCGACGCCCGGTCCACGAGCGACGACGTCTTCTACCTCCCCGACGGCGGCCATGTCTCCGCGCCGTTCATGTCGAGCGGCAAGTGGCAGTACATCGCCTGCCGCGCCGGCTACAAGGTCCTCAGGCTCCCGTACGCGCGCGGCGGCCGCGGCCGCGGCCGCGACACCGGCCGCCTCTTCTCGATGTACATCTACCTCCCCGACGAGCGCCACGGCCTGCCTGACATGCTGCGCAAGCTGTGCTCCGACCCGGCGGCGCTGATCGAGAGCTCCGCCGCCCTGACGGAGAAGGTCCCCGTGGGCGCCTTCATGGTGCCGAGGTTCACCCTGTCGTACAAGACGAACGCGGCGGAGACGCTGCGACAGCTCGGGCTGCGCCTGCCGTTCGAGTACCCCGGCGCCGACCTGTCGGAGATGGTGGAGTCATCGCCGGAGGCGGAGAAGATCGTCGTGTCGGCCGTCTACCACGAGTCCTTCGTCGAGGTGAACGAGGAAGGCACCGAGGCGGCGGCGGCGACCGCCGTCGTCATGACCCTTGGCTGCGCGGCGCCATCGGCGCCGGTTCACGTCGTGGACTTCGTCGCCGACCACCCCTTCATGTTCCTGATCAAGGAGGACCTCACCGGCGTGGTGGTCTTCGCCGGGCAAGTCACCAATCCTTCGTCCTCGACCTAGATTCCGATGTGGTGAAGTAAGCAGCGAAGAGAACACGGAGCGGTTCGTCAGATCATGTCCCTGTAGTGATCTTTGCGTGTAAAAATTCCGGATCACCGGTCAATTCTGTGATATTGTAGCAACTATATATCAGTTATGCAGCAAAAGGAATAAGTACAGTATTGGTGTCTCGTCAAAAGAAAACATGAAAATTTGTTAACTGTGCACGAAACTGGAAGCATATTATTCATAAGCAGCTGTAGGAACTTAGTATCATTCATGCAAAATTGTTTACTGTGCACGAAACTGGAAGCAACGAGGTTACGGAATGTGTCTACGCGACAATCATGTTAGGTCGCTTCAGCAGTCGTCTCCTTTGGCAAAATCAGTGCAATTAGGCATTCGGTCGGATGGGGCGGAAGTTCTAGCATCCCACAGGCCTCAGGCGTGGGAGGAAGGATAAATAGTAGCCTTGACCACAATGGCTTGACAGATGGAATCTTGATCACACCGGCGCATTCTCTCTGTTTCAGATAGGATATAAAATCCCGGAACTGCAAGATAAACACACATAAGTAGTGAAGGGTTAATGTGGTTTCATATAAAAATAGATATTCAGGTAGTGGGGTTGGCAGTGTATATAATAAAATCATACCCCTTTCTGATCACCATTCGAACAGGGTAATAGCCGACAGACCTCTCTCTGCAAAGTGAAATAACAAACAGTAAACATTATTCCCCTGCGAGATGCGATAGATAAAAGTAGCTCGAGATTTTCTCTCTGCACCACACTGAAATACATCAGCCCCATCATTAATATATGAGTAAATTTCACACTGCACCATATGTTTTGACCAAAGTTTCACAATGGGCAAGGGCCAACCCAACCTTTTCACTTAGCACCACATATCTTTGCACTAGTTGGCACTTTGGACTAGGGTTGAGCAAATCAATGGAAGTTGTCAGAGAAAAGCTAGTTCAAATCATCATTTTTAGTTCCATAGTATTAAGATAAATATCTTTAGAAAGAAATAGAAAATCACAAAACAACTTTGTTCAGCAAATCACACTAAAATAATGATGCAAACATGTTTAAAAGTGGCACAAAATGATATATACATAGGGGCAAATGAATAAAAATAAAATACTAGAAAAGAGTTAATTACCACTCACACTAAAAATAAGGAAGAAAACATAAAATGTTTTGCCTTTTATAATTATCCATGTGTAAATCATATGAAGTTTTCTCACATTCCCTTGCTTTGCTCACCCCTAGTCCAAACTGAAAACTTATGTAAGATGTATGGTGTTAAGTGAAAACAATGATTTAACCTTAGTCCATTATGAAATCTTGGTCAAAATATGTCGCCCAATGTGAAATTTACTCTTAATATATTAAAAACCTTTCTGTTTAATCTAGATAAATCGTTATATGGACGCATTTGCCCCACAATGAGCAAGTACTTAAATTGTACTCCAAAGAAAATTCATTGACATATCAACTTCCACATCTGAAACATAGCCATGCTAACCTACAAGTGGCTTATCATCATTGACCGCACAATCGGCTATAAATTAGCTGCTCACGGCTTATGGCTTAATAGGGGGTAACTTCTAGTAGCACCATCCCATTCCTAACGATCTGCTGCTTTTCATGCATACATAGTGAACTGAACTAAATAGCAAAAGATGCTATTTGCCAGATTTCAAGTTCAGAGATATGACCATGCACCATTAGCTGAATTAAATATCAAGAATTTCAATTTAAAAACAACATAGAAGTATTAGCACTGCATTTATTAAAAAAAATCTCAAAATAGTTATTCCCTTACATCCAGGTATAAAATATTCACTTATTACTTAATTTTAGCTCAATCATCTCAAATAAAACCAAGATGATAAAATGGAGATCCCTTATGCAATGAACTTGTGCCAAATTAACAAGCATCAATGCTGAGGATCCTGGCACCTAAATTCATATATATCAAGGACAAAATGTAGAAATGTTCTCATGGTGCAGTTTAGATGAAACATGGTATAAACACACAACTATAAAGCATGATTGGTGAAAATACAAGAACAGTCTTCAGAAAAGTTATGCCAACAGAAAAAAAGAGACTGAATTATGGTGAGACTACTTAAACTGTAAAATTACACTAGGCTAGAAGTATTTCTGAAATAGTACATGGCCTTCTAGAGTCTTACTTTGCTAGGTGGAGTATTGGAGAAAGTTGTCTTCACATGTTGGTAATCCGTTCGCTTTGTCACATCTAATCTTGAAGGCCACCTAAATGTGCAAACAAGAATGTTTTAGGAGAATATGTAATGTTGTAATAATAGAATGTGTAGGCTGGATTGATGTATCTCTTACCCTGTCGGTTCAGAAACTGCATGTTCATATCTACAAGCATCCAACTCTATTCTACTTGCATAGATTGAACAGTAATGTAAACCACTTTTTGAAAGAGAGCCCTGCCATCGAGGATGAGAACGTTGCTTTTGTGAGTCAGAAGGGTCAGTAGCAGGTTGAAGCGGAGGAGGGGAATTTGGGGGTGGTGGCACAGAAGGTGGCTGAGTAATAGGTAGTGGTGGTGGAGATGGTGGTGGGGGTGGTATATCTTGACGAGTAAATGGTGGGGGGGCTACATTTGGTGGAGGTGGAGGTGGAGGTGGCCTTTTCTCAGACTGCTGTGCTGAACCTCCAGGAAACTGTGTAAGAGGGGTAACAGAAGATGGTATAAAAGGAAGAGGAGCAGGTGGATTCATACGGAAGCTACTTCCAGGCATCATTCGAGGAGAAGCGTGACTGAAGGATGGATTTGGGGTAGTATTTTCCCACGGACTTCCTGGACCAGGATATACAGGACGGACAAAAGAAGTTTGAATAGGTGGCGGTGGTATTACAGGACCACGGTGTGCAGAAACAGGTGGGCATGGAAGGATGCCTTGTGGAGCTCTGGGAGCCGATGGACCTGCATGTCAACCATACTGTTACATGGAGCCAACTCATGCACAAACTCGCAAAATTTGTTAAATTAAAGAATACTAGACTTACCATAAATTGGTCGCTCTGTTGGTACTGTGAAGCCTGCATTATACCCTGAAACCCTTGGATTCCTGCAGATTTGATTGTTTCATAGATGTGTAAAATTAAACAATCAATTGCATACAGCAGCAATGTGATACTCCCAAGGTGCAAGCAACAAATGACTTTCAAGCACTCAAAACCTTAATTTAGGTATACAAATTACTAAAATATAAGCAGATCGTAAAGAGCAGCATAACAAACAACACTAGTTGACATAATGTTCTACCATGAGCTCAATGGAAAGGGAAGACATACAAATCAGTATTCTGGAAAATATTTAAGCTTGACATACCCACATGGAAAAAAAAAACCCATGTTACAGAGACCATATATTTTTTACATTCTGCAGGTTGCAGCCTTAACCAAATAATTTCACGATCATCAGGTGGCACTGATATATGAAAGCCTAAGATGACGAAATTTTTGTCCACAGGCCTGCTTGACGTCAATATTAGTGCATGTAAAACCTATAAAAAGACTTTCATGCAGTTGGAGAAATGCAATCAAAGGCAAAGCTAATGGAAATACCGGCTATATGTATGAAGCTTTATATTTGAAAAAGCAGCCACTAGCATGATACAATGCACATAAGGCACCAGCAAACAACTAGGGACTAAGCAGTGAAGGAACAACCATGTAATGGTAGGTCAGTAGCACTTTGGAAGTTTGACATTATATCAGTATTTGACATACGAGCGCCAAAGTATATACAGATACATGCATAGTTGCACATACAGGATAGGAGGCTGCAGCACCAAAAATAAAGGATGGGTACTAAATGGCCCAATACCCAAAATATCCAACAGAGGATCTAAATCAGCAAAAAATAGGTATGTCAAATCAGCGATAGCATCCTACATTCTAACAGTGCATTTTCACAAGATTCAAGATAGCTGGAAAAAAAATAACATGCTAATAAAACAGGTGCACAAATAGATCGATGGCATATGCAAACCAATACCACCCACTGCATATGATCGTACAAATCATGGGATGACTCCAAATTGCATTGACCAGGTCTAGAAAAGTTGCATTAACAACAGACCGACTTAGCACACTTTGGGAGCTATGATAAAAAAAATATACAAGTTTTAGAACTGTTGCAACCATCAACCATGGTTATATCTGTACAGGATTAAGAAGATAAGAAAAGGTTGAGCTAACCTGATCTCATGGTGACTGCTGTCAGAAACACTCGGGGCTAGCATTGGAACAGAAGGCGACAAAGTTTTATCATGCACAGATCTCGATTCAACACTAATTGACTTCAGCCCAAATCTTGCACCATGCAGGTGAGATTTTGCAGTGGCAGCAGCATTAGGTGATCTATAATCTATCAAGCAGTTCCCATCAAGCTTATTGAACTGCCACCTTATGACCTCACCAAATCGTGAAAATGCATTGATAAACTCCATGTCAGGGACTGAATTGTCTATGTTCCGCACAAAAAGTTCATGACCAGAAGTATTCTTGTCCTGGGAACAGACATCTGGATGAAGCTGGCGCCTAATATGGGCTTTCGCAGCAGCTGCATCAGTTGCTGTCTCAAATTCAAGAAGCAAAGCATTTTCACTGGAAATATCTGTAAAGCTACATGGCCTCTTCAACCCTGCGGCCTTTAATTCATCAAACACCTCATCTTTATCTTTTTTGTTCTTAACTTTAGCAACATAAATATGACGACTTTCACCAACAGCTATACCACTAGCAAATCCCTTGCTGCCTATAAGTCTATCTAAATACCTTATTTGGAGACCACCACCCCAAACAGAGGAACCCTGCATACATCCATATGCATGAACAGCATGCATTATGTTCCCGTACTCAACCAAGGCAAAATTCTTTGGGGGATAAAATAAGAAGTTTGCTAAGGGGCCAAACTCCTCAAATTTCGATCTAACTAGTGACTCTGCAGCACTATTTCCCAGTGAACCAATCCAAAGTTCCTTTGAAACTGAAATCACATCCCTCGAGAAATGAGCACCATAAAGATCAGATGGTTCTGAATATGAATGCTTCGCCTTTCCAAAATTCTGCCCCGGAGAAGTGAGAGTTGCAGCTCCCCCAGCAGAATCATGTGTTGATTTTGGTGTGTGCATATCAAGTCTTGCAGCTTGATGCCCTGCATCAGAAATTACATTTCCTTGCTTGCAGACATCGAGTTTGACATCTGCTAACTTCTCAGTTTTCACCTCATCAGTATGCACCATCTGTGCATTCTTATTCTGCACAGTTTTCCCTCCATATCTATCAGCGATATCAGTTTTCAAAAGCATTCTCTGTTCATATGAACATGCCAATTTATTGGGTTGCAAATACCCCCCTGAATTTTCATCAATCTTGTCCAGCACTGATGATTCACTGCCCATGTGACTTTTATTGTCTTCAAGTTGTGTTAAAGAGCCCAAAACATTTAAACACGATGATACCTCTGAAACCACATCAGTTCTACAGGAATCACACAGCTTTTTGTACCTCAATAATATCCAGCCTTTCAAAGATGGATGCCTAGAGATGGCCTGCAAGTGAAACCTAGTAATAACATTAGATAAATAAACATAAAGAACACTAATGAGTGAAACTACATAACAGTCTTTTACCACATATAATTAAGTGAAAAATTGCAAAAAAAAAGACCCCTTAAGGATAACACATTTATAAAATAATTGTTTATTGCCTGGCAATCTGTATATCATATATTAATATACGCTCATAATACTCATCCTGGGCGCATAAAATTTCCTTGCCCCCATAATTTGTTGAATTAATGACAAAACAAACCATTTGATCAATATTTATGTCACAGAGTCAAAGAGTAATGAATAATGGCTAGCAAAAATGCAAATGCATTTCACTCAAATGAATCCATTGCCAACTTTCACTGAAATGAATTTCCACACAGAAGAATGAGCTAACCAAAAGGCCTCGTGCAACACCCAACAGTAATGAAGGGTCAGAAAGGCAGCACAGTTAGGAAAGTGATTAACAAGTTGCACATAAAATAGGCACTTTGAAACACACTGATAATATATATATCTTTGTTATAGCAAATCTAGCTTATAACTTTGAAACCTTCTGGCTTACTTTTAGCCTAAGTGTGTGCAGATCCTTATCATGGATAAGGAAATGAACATCGGTACTCATTTGACTGTCCATAACCCAACCATCCTATTGGTGAAATGCGAAATAAATGGGCAACTAATATAACCACTATCAAATTGGTGCTTAGTAATTGACTTTATATGCTAGAACCCATCATCATTTCTAATGGGAAAAATTCAAAAGTACTTGACCGAAAGGTTAAAATGCTTCATCAATCAATAGTGGTCCATACCATTGTCATGTAACACTCATTTGGCTGCAACATAGAACTTCCTGAAACACCAACACTATGAGAAGATAGATTGGAATCAACAGATTCTTTGGTGCTAGGATGATCTACGTCCATTCCTGTACACTGGGAGATTCCATCCCCCTGAACATCGAGAGCATCAGTTATGATACCACTGTTCAGATGGCAGGTTAGCTGCTTTAGAAAGTACAATCCTTCTCCGTTTACATCTTCTGCAGAAGCAATCAGCGCAAAACAGGCATCTAGTATGTTCTCTGGAAATAAAAGAAATATGCATAGCAATGAAAGTGCTCTCAGTTCAACTAAACAGTCGTCTGCCTGTTGGTTGTCACCCCCTGAATCCTGCTTTAGAATGTCTAACAGCTCCACAGGGTCCTGAAGATTTAGAAGTTTTCTTGAGCCTATGTGATAGATATCCTTCCCATCAAATGTTGAAATGAAGAATGTGAGGACAGTAATATAAACTGCAGAGCAGATTCCTGTTAAAACAGATGATTTGGGTGCTTCACAGGATGCTGTGGAGCATATGTCAGTTAAGCCAAGAATACAAGCCCTAGCAGTCTGGTATGCCACACCATCCACATCTTCCCCTCTTGTTACAATGGCCAGGTTCCATTTATACATGTTGATGGAAACTTTGGTAGCTGCCTCAAGTGCAGTAGGGCAGTATGAGGCATATTGAGGAATCAAGTCAGCTAAAATACGTTGAACGCTTGTACAACCTGCATCGAAGGTAAGGGAAAATGATGAGGATGGTTTTTAAGCATGGTAAAACAGTAATTGCTTTCAATATATGAAGTTTTATCCATGTAATCAAGTACCTACATGCCCCAGTGATTACATTAATTAATGTCTCTATTAAACACACGGAACTTCACAACATCAGAGTCTTTCAGTCCGATGCTACAAATAAAAGCTAAGTGATAAATGAAAAACAATTCAAGTTTTATATGATCATCGTCTTAAGATAACTTGGCAAATTAGGTTGCTACAATAACTCTCCTAGAGATATTCAACCTCCAAAAGTTCCATTCTCTGTTAATCAAATTGGTAAAAATATAACTGAAAGAGTACAGAAACATGAATGCTGCCAAAAGAAAATTCGAGCATAGCTAGATAAGCTCAAACATGTGAGATTAAGTTTCCAAATATAAAGAGCATTTAACCCTAAGCAGTTTTTTTCTATGTTGTTGGTTAACATGTGATGATCAAAATGTCGATACCCCACGAACTTACTTCAGTTTTACATCAGTGATGCAGTATTATTTGATCAACTTTTGCTTCTGTTTTTTTATTAACTTGGAAACCTGGATTTAATATATTTGTTATCCTTTTGTGATGCATGCTTATGATTCACACAAGCATACAATCAATAAATACAGTTGGACACTGATTTTGATAGGAGTTCATCACTAGTAAGGCCAACAAAAGCTCTAAGGATCGATAAACAAACAGGTGCTCCTTTAAATCAGTCGTGGTGATGAACCAGTTGTGGATACACCAACAATAATTTCCATACTGTTGGTCACAAGCATGTGACTAAGAATTATTCTCAGGAACTACTTCCGAACAGGTAAATAAGTAGTGCCTACGCCCTACAGTACATCTCCCAAGCACATACCTCTCTATTGTGAGCCTGGATCAAATACGTACACAGCTTGTTGACCTAAGACCTAACCAAGTAGATTAAAGTTTCAAACTACACACGGGGCAGGAGTACAGAACAGGTTAATCATGTGAAATTTGTTGCTGGATATTTTATTCCCATGGCAGCTCATATGGATTATGGATCCATAAATCTATTTCACTATAATATGCTGGCAGTAAAGCATCCTTTTAGTCACCATTAACCACTGTATACTTCCTCTAATGATATAATCCAACACCCATGCAAGCCTTCTGCTTTCCCTCACCTGATTAACACAAACACACAACGGAGCAAGAAAAATAGGAACGAGGTGCTCAAGTAATAAGTAATAACCATCAATCGAGATTAGAGACGGATCAGAACTAAATTCTACTAGCTTCGAGCGTAGAGTGGTATCGAGAAAACGCCACATCGACTCGCTATACGAATTTCGGCACTTTCCAATTGCGCTATCTTGATGAAGCGTGAGTGGGAGGGGAGAGTCCATGCACCTCGAGAGCTGGCGATGAGCGAGAGGTACACCTGCTCGAGCTCGGGCAGGAGGCGCGCGTCCTTGCGCTCCACGCAGAGGCGGATGCGGCGGTAGCACTCGAAGAGGCCCCGCAGCTCCTCCCTGTTGCGGCGCTTGCGTACGGCCTCCTCCGGCCGCGGGGAGGCGGCGGCGGCTAGGGTTTGTGGGGGAGGCGGCGGCGGCGGCGGCACGCCCGGAGGGGGCGGGACCGGGGACCGTGGCGAGGCCGGCGCGGGAGCGGAGGAGGAGGAGGGGCTCGGGGCCGGGGACGGGACATGGACCTCGACGAGCCTCCGCTTCTTCGGCGGCGGCTCCGCCGACGACGCCATGATCGGGGCGACGCGGGGGAGAGGAGTCTACAGTGTCAACTCCGTAGTCCGTTTGATGACACCCCGTCAGTTCAGGCGTGTGTGGCCTGTGGTTTGGTGTGTGGCATGTGTGCCTGTGTGGTGTAATGGCAAACGGACAGATACTAGGAATCTGTTACTCCTACTAGCAATGAAACACTCCACGCCATATCCATTTCATAATGTAATAAATCTAAAAAGTCTTACATTATAAAATAGAGAAAGTAGGACTACCTTAGAATCTAGAGGGATGCGACCAGATTCATAGTCTTAGAATATGTTACATACCTCTAAAATCCCTTATATTATGGGACGGGGTACATGATTATAATGGATTTATGGTGAACTGGTAAGATAAAATTTGCGCTTACGTTAGTTTGGGTAAAAAAAATACTTAGGAAAAAGTACGAATTACCCCCTGAACTATCGCGGTCAACCGAATTACCGCCCTAAACCCAAAAACCAGATATTACTCACCCTAAACTTAAAATACCGGACAAATTATCCCCCACAGCCCAATCCGGAGCGGTTTTGTCCTACGTGGCGTACGCGTGGCAATCCAGTCAGCAAATTATTTATTACAAAAAATGTGGGTCCCACTTATCATACTCCTCTTCCTCCCTCTCCTCTCTCTTCTCTCTTACCGAGCAGCGCACAGGGGCGGGGAGGTGGGCGGCGGCGTGGTGATGGGCAATGGGCTGGAGGAGGCGCGGTGCTGGCACCTGCGGGCGGTGGTGTTGGCGGTGGAGGGTGCCACCGGGCGGCGGCTACACGCCGCAGAGGCCGAGCTGGGGCTCGCCGCCGATGAGGGGATCGACGAGGCGGAACTACGGCTTGTAGAAGATCGGGTCATAGACAATGACCCAACCGTGGCCGGAGCCAAGGCAGTTGCTCCTTTCAGGGAGGAGCATGGCCAACCTCTCGTGGAGCGCGGTGGAGATCCTCGGGGACAGCAACCATGCGTTGTGGCGATTCCGCCAGCCGCCCGCGGCTGCCTGGCGCTGGATCTAAAATCGATGAAAAAAACAACAAACAATATTTCTTACATGATAGAAAAGGGAGATCTTAGATCTAAATCAATAAAAAAAGCAACAACCAGTAATTCTTACATGATGGAAAATGGATATCTTAGATCTAAACCGATGAAAAAACTACAACCAGTGATACTTACATGATGGAAAAGGGAGATCTTAGATCTAAATCAATGAATAAACAACAACCAGTAATTCTTACATGATGAGAAAAGGAGATCTTAGATCTAAATCAATGAAAAAACAACAACTAATAATTCTTACACGAGCAAAATAGGATGATCCTCCCTCTTCGAGAGGCAGGGCAGATCGAGATCCTAGTTCTAAATAAATGAAGAAACAACGACTAATAATTCTTACACCAGCAAAGAGAGAGGTTGGCGAGGGGCTCGTTGCCGCCTTATCCCTCCATCTCCCCTCTTATTCTTCTTCCATCTTCCTCTACTCCATGGGATAGGGGGCTTAGGCCCCAAGTACTCGCGTTGGATCCGCCACTGTATAGAGGGGATGGGAAGAGAGAGATAATTAGGGAAGAAAGTATGAGTATAATGAGGGGAGATATAGCTAACCGGTGCTAGAGAAGGATAATCATATATATACCTCACCCTTTTATAGAGAAAGAATTAAACTCCATTCTAAAACTAGAATATAATTAGACAGAGCGACCATAGACACATATTATAATTATAATAAGAGCGGTTAGATATCCTTACAGATTAATATAGTACTATCATCGCTAGTATTAGCTTTGTGCTTACTCGCCCTCGGAAGTTTATATGAACAAAACATTTGGAAAATAATTAGAATAGTTGTTTGACATGACATAAGAAAAACACAAGGAACAATTATAATTTTCCCCCTCAAAATCCTTTTGCAATATTTCATACTACCTTATGGGATATTGTTATTGTGCTGTAATCCTTTCCACTCGTTCCCATTCCTATTTCAAAAGTGCATTAAAGCCAGAGGCTATGAGACATGTTAAATACTCCATACGCAAGTTTTTTTATAGGCTCTACACGCATTTTGAATATGGACAGTGTCGTTTTTTTCCCCTTAGAGGCTTAGATATCGAATTTCCTTTGCAAATGGAAGGTATCAGAATTTTTCACCAAAGCAGGGTTCTCGAAGCAACTTTGCTATCCTTAGCCCAACGGCCGACGCGAAGGATGTTTTGGGCCGACTTGCTAGTCAGCCCAGCCCAACGAGCACCATAGTACTACACAAGGGGATTATCTCGCGCGCGGGAAAAGGGAAAAAAATCCCCAAAATCTCCCGCGTTCAGCCGGCCGCAGCTTGCAGTCTCCCTCCGGACCCAAGCCCCGCTCGAGCGAGCGCGATGGCCTCGGCGAGGGACCTCGCCGTAGCGTCCATCTCCGCCGCCGTGGGCGCCGCAGCCGCCGCGGCCGCGCTGCGCTTCCTGTCATCCTACGGGGCCAGCTCTGCCAAGCAGCGGAGCCCGCCCACGCCGTGCGCCGAGCACCTCGCGGTCAACGGATGCGCCGCCGAGCGCCCGCCGGTGCAGTCCCCCTTCGATCCCGCCAAGAGGGAAGGGTTAGTCCTAGTCGCCCCACCGGCTCACCCTCTTTGATTAGGTGTAGCCGAGTTAAAGCTCGTTTTTGGCATCTTGTGAGGATTTGTTGCGTTCGTTTCTGCAGGTATATCTCCTGGGACGACTACTTCATGGCGATCGCGTTCCTTTCGGCCAAGCGGTCCAAGGATCCTAATCGGCAGGTAAAGTGCATCTTCGTTGCTTGCTAAACTGCCCGTGTAAGGATTCCAACGAACGATTGTCGACGTTTAACGTGTTTGAGCTCATGCAGTCATACTGTTTGTAGAAATGCCTCAATGATACTATACTGTGGAGAATCATTAAAATTGTCGGAGAGCAGTGGACTGTTGTGGTTGATGATTTTTTTCGGGATGATGCTACCCTTTATTATCCTACTTTAGAAGAATTCACCTACCTATTTGGACTTGACTTTCTTTCAATCTTTTTTAGACAATAAGGCATGACTTTCTTTCAACCTTTTGCCAACCATACATACCAGAGTGGCAAATTTTACCCCTGGGTAGGATCATTTGGCAATACAACTATACCAAAATGTCAAGTAGTAATGCTTCATTTCATCTCAAGTTTGTTCACGTATATCTTTCTTGCTCGTTTTGCAAATGTCATGTAATGGAAGAGGAAGGATAACATTTGTTTTGAATGTATTTGTTTGTTGTTGTCATAAAGCAAACTTTAACTCAATTAAGCAGCTCGTGCATGCTTGATTAGTTCATTATTTCACCTATTTCATTAATGATTTAATCAATTCATCAGTATGTTGTATGCAGGTTGGAGCATGCTTGGTTAGCCAAGAGGGGATAATCCTAGGTAAAGTTGAAACTCAAAGAATACCTTGTTCAGGGTTGAAATTTTATAGCCTTTTTGCATTTTAGTAGGTTAGCTGCTTATTTAAAAACAAAAACACACAAGGTTAATCCATGTAACCATTGGACACTGTACACATTTTTATGCTATATCTGAAACTGATTTTTCATAAACTAGAAGCATTATGGTCACAAATCAAATTTGATATGCTTTTCACTCTTAGGAAGTGCACTGAACTGCCTTATTATATCCTTTTCTTGTTTGTTGTTCTCTCCATTAGACCACATGATTGGCCAGTGCAGTACTGTTTTGTGTACTGAGATAGTGCTGTGCTAGTGTGTGCAACGGACTTCTTCTCGTGTTACCTGCCTACCCCAGTGTCGATATATTATTTTGTATAAATTCCATTTTGTTACTGCTTTATTGAGGGGCATTTGTTACTGGTTAGATACACTATTGATATCCCTATCCAGTTGTGGCATAATGGCATGACATTTCAGTCTTACATTTTTGGCTCTTCACAGCAAATCACAACCAGCATGGCAGTCCTCTTTTTAATTACATGTTTGCTTTTGGACTCGCTGCTACATTTCAGTTTTTTTTTTTGGTAACATTGATCCAGCTATATTGGTTTTTCAACACATGCTACTTTTTTTTTTGAAACATATAATAATGCACCCTTTTATTTGGTGGCTTCAGACTGCAGCATTGCTGTGAAATGTATGTTGTTTTGGCAGGCAATGCACCATTAATAATATGTATATCATGTTGTTCTGATAGTGTAACCCAATCTTAATGCAATCAGGAATAGGGTATAATGGATTTCCTAGAGGTTGTTCTGACAATAAGCTACCCTGGGCAAAGGTATATTTTTTCTGAAGCTCTTTTTTCGTATGTAACAAGGACTACTAAATTAATTATTGTACTGTTAGTGCAAAGTCAAAATTCATGTAAGGTGCTCATTTTGTAATTATTTAGCACATACAAGCTGCCACATGCAAAAGAGTCCCATAGCTTAACATCTATCACTTCTCTAGTATTTTCCTAATTGCTTGTCATTTCAGAAATCTGCCAAGGGAGATCCATTGGAGACAAAATACCCGTAAGTCATGAATTTATTTTCTACACTAGTTTGATTAGCACTATCCCTTTTCTTTGTGAACATGCAAAAGGATTGTGGGCCAAATATATTAAAGGAAACATGAGCAAATACAACAAAACGTCAATATTCTAGCAACAAGGAGGAAATGCCTTGGGCTGTGTACACCTTTCTAAGGTGTAGAGGCCGGGTTAATAATCCATTATCTAAAAAACAAGGAGGAAATGCCTATAGACTATTAACACGATAAGCACCACCTGGGAAGCATGAAAGAGCAACTGGTTGGAAACATCAGTGGAGAGACATTGACAGTATCTTTTATTGATACACTGTAGCTCTATAGGCTTTTTGGGATCAGTACGGGCAATTTACTTTAGCAGTGATGAGATAATTGTTTTGTAAATATGGATATCCTAGATATAACCATGAGCTCTAGTTCTAAATGTACATAATCACTTGGTGCCACCTATTTGGAATGCAGAAGCTTAAACTATGTGGTAGATCATTGACAAGGATCTTTCTTCAAAATAAACAGTTAATGCAAATGCCTTTTATTTCCTACTCCCTCCGTCCCATAATATAAGGGATTTTGAGTTTTTGCTTGTAATGTTTGACCACTCGTCTTATTCAATTTTTTTTTAAAATTATTATTTATTTTATTTGTGACTTACTTTATTATCTATAGTACTTTAAGCACAACTTTTTGTTTTTTATATTTGCAAAAAAAAATTGAATAAGACGAATGGTCAAACGTTGCAAGCAAAAACTCAAAATCCCTTATATTATGGGACGGAGGGAGTATTTGATTTCATAATCTAGAGAGGAGAAAACCTTAAACTGTTGGGTGGTGTATGTGCTGAGCTGATGATTTGCGTCCCAGCCCAAAAGTCTCGCATACACCAGCTGACTTCACAAACCATATAGAGTAAGAGTGATGATATGTTCAAAGAATGAAGAGCATAACTGAATGCAAAAAAGGAAGGGCGGCGTGGATGGGATCCTGTGTGTTGACTGTTAATAACTCGGGGAAAAAAGTTCCCAGAGACATGCACATGGCGATTTTTTTTTATTTTCAGCTATCTTGTGACCTGTGAGGCACAAAAAATCTAAAGGGATTAGTCTACAACTCTATATGTGACCCTTAAAAATTATCTAAAGGGATTAGTCTACAACTCTATATATGGCCCTTAAAAATTTACTTCTATGCTCCTGTGTCAGGCTCATATCTACTGATCCTTGTTGTTCTAGACTTTAAGATTTTTTACTATCCTTGAGGTTATGCAGTACGGCCGTTGATCTGGCAACACCCTACGGTCAAAAATCGTCGGTACCTCATGGTACCGCACCTTCCCATTGAAGCGGTACTGTGGATGGGAGGGCAGTTTTGTACTTTCGTCTTTATTCCGCGTCACGCACGCACGCGGCATCTCTTCCTCCTCCGTCTCTGCATCTCACAGGGCAGGAGCAGCGTTGAACTAACCGGCGGCGAGAGATGGCGGCGGGAGCAGGGGCATATAGGTCCCGAACCCTAGATCGGAAACCCGACAGCGGCCCAGATCGGCGATGGGTGGCGGGAGGACCGGGATAGCTGCAAGCTGCGTCGGGAGCTTGATGATGGTTGCGGCGACGATTCATCGGCGACGACGGCCGCGGCGATGGTTGCGGCGGTGATTTGTCGGAAGCTCGATGTGACGGTGGCCGCGGCGAACTTGATGCGACGCCGGCACGGGGATGCGGCAAAGAGAAGAGAGGGGAAGAGGGTAAGGCCGGCGATGGTTGCAACGGCCATTCATCGGGAGCTTGACGATGGTTACGGCGGCGATTCGTCGGAAGCTCGACGCGATGGCTGCCGCAGCGGACTCGATGCGACGCGGCGGCGGCCGCGGCGGACTCGATGCGATGCAACGGCGGCAGCAGCGGACTCGATGCGACGCGACGGTGGCCGCGGCGGACTCGATGCGACGTGACGGCGGCAGCGGCGGACTCGATGCGACGCGACGGCGGCAGCGGCGGACTCGCTGGCACGGAGATGTGGCAAAGCTTTGGAGAATACGAGAGATTCATTCATTCATGGCACGTCGCCGACGAGTATCTTGTCGCCCTCGTCGTCACGAGCGTGTACTCGCCGGACGCCGCTGCCGCTGTCGAGGAGCCCGGCAATCGCCTCCTCGCCTCCTCCCGTGCAGCTCTTGCCGCCGGCGGCGGCGGACATGGTTGGGTCCCTTTGAGCCACCACGAGCAAGCAAGCAAAACGCCATCAAGAGGGTGAGGGATTAGCGCCACCCTAAATTTGTTTAGCCCGATCATACCCCTCCTAAATCAACGGTTAGATTAAATTGGTACCTCATGGTACCTCGTACCTCATAGTACCTCGTATCTCATGGTACCTCGTAGTACCTCCTCAAGGATGGGAAAGATGCTCTTAGACTTTAGTTAGCTTGTACCCAATCCAGTTGCGTAAAATTTGTGTGAGAAGCCCTGGTGTTAATTCCTCTAAGCTTTACACTGTGCTACACTACATATGCATTCCTTGAATACAAAAATAGTCTCCTATAGCAAGGCTTAGATGTTGAATTCTAAGTCCCTAATTGTGACCGTCATCTTTCACCCTGACAGCTATGTTGTTCATGCTGAGGTTAATGCTATTTTAAATACAAACCATGCTTCAGCGGCTGGACAGGTTTGGACTTCTAATCTCCTACAAACTTAAAGCATCTCATTAATTTGCCTTTATAAGCTAAGAATAATCTTGTGTTATCTTCTCTTTGCAGAAATTATATGTTACCATGTTCCCCTGCAATGAGTGTGCTAAGATTATTATCCAGGTTTGTTTCTGGATAGAATCAGTATCTTAAAGTTAAAATGTATTTTTGTCATCACCTATTTAAATTACTCTCACTTTGAGGAAATGCATTATAACACCATATATCTCAATCATACACTTCATAAAACCTAACGGCACATTTTAGCTTAAAAGTTTCATATTTACTGCATGCTTTGCCGGTTAAACTTTAGTTAATGTATACAAACACATTGCATTTTATTAATAATTTACTAGTAAACCGCGCCTTTTCACTTGAAGAAATTGGTTCAACACTAACTATAATACTTATCTTTCTTGCAGTCAGGTGTATCTGAAGTCATATATTTTGTAGAGAAAAGGATTGACAACTCTGATTATGTTTACGTAGCCTCGCACAAGTTGTTATCAATGGCTGGTGTAAAGGTTTGTAGGATTGACCTATATGAATATGGTTATACTGTGTTGGAATGAGTTACATACGTTCTTATGCTTCATGGCAGGTTAGGAAACACCAACCACAGATGTCACAAATACCAATCAAGTTTCAGGAGCCTCGAAACGGTGAGCCTTCAATGAACGCAGCAAGTATATTTAGCTGATCTTATCTTTGTTTGTTGTCTCCTTATCTACATATACCTTTACTGTGCGGTTATGTGTAAGATTTCTGTTGATCATGGCATCAAAGAACAAATGCTTGTCAGTCATTCAACGTCATCGATTGCCATATCCTCCGGGGTGCTGTTGACCGTCTTGTTGTAAACTTGTAATCCGTGAGACTACTAGATCATCAAAACAAATTATGGCTGTGTTTAGTTCAGCGCAAAATTTAGATTTTGGTTGAAATTGAAGATGATGTGACTGAAAAGTTGTGTATATGACAGGTTGATGTGATAGAAAAGGACTGAAGTTTGGATTCAAACTTTAGATCTAAACACAGCGTATATATATACTTCTTCCAACAACATTACAATTTGTTTGACCTATTGATTTAAGTTCAAACAAATTATGTGTTGCTTAAAATCGTGTCTGGATTCTGGAACAATTTATGTACTCTCTCAGTTCCTTTATATTTGTTGCTAAGCACAATCTATATTTAAACATTGACCATTCGTCTATTTTATAAAAATAATCTAAATATTTAAATAGATGTCAAATTATCAAAGTGTATTACATACTTAAACATAAGTTTTAAAGTTTTATTTATCATCATAATCTAATCATCTAAAAATTATTTTCCGTGATCAAAGTTGCAACGGTGCCTTACAACGGTGACAAATATACTCCATTTACGGGCAACTCTTGCTTGCGCAACGGGCCTTCTGGGCCGTTAACGGACAAATCGGCCGCGGAGGACGAACCCATCAACCCAGGACATCCAGGGTTGTTCAAGGCGGCCGCGCTTCCACGCCCCACGCACCGCCAGCCGTGATGACCGGCGGCCTCCCGCCGCCTCTCCGCCCGTCCACCGCGCCGCCGCCGCCCTCCGTCACGCGCGCGCTGCACGCGATCAACACCTGCACCACCGCCGCCGCGCTCGCGCCCATCCGCGGCGCCATCCTCGGGGACCGCGCGCTCCTCCGCTCCACCGCCGTCGTCTCCGCCTTCTTCCTCGCCTGCGGCCGTCTCCGCCACCTCGACCCGGCGCTCTCCCTCTTCGCCTGCCACCCGCGCCCCCACGTGTTCGTCTTCAACTCGCTCCTCCGCTCCCTCGGCCGCGCCCCCGCCCGCTCCCCGCTCCCGCTCTTCCGCCACTTCCTCCGATGCCGCGGCGTCCGCCCCAACCGCTTCACCTTCCCTCTCCTGCTCACCTCCCTGTCCTCCCTCGCCGACCTGAGGGCCGTGCATTGCCAGGTGGTCAAGTCCGGGTTCGGGCCCGACCTCCACGTCCGCAACGCCCTCCTCGCGCGCTACGCGGACTGCGACCCTGACCTGGCGCACGCCGAGCAGATGTTCGACGAAATGCCCCGACCGGAGGTTGTCGCGTGGACCACTATGATCACCTCATACAGGAACCGAGGCCGCACCTTTCACGCTCTGGCGACCTTCCGGCGGATGCTTGCTGCTCATGTTGCACCCAACCGCGTTACCATGGTTGCTGCTCTTGGCGCTTGCGCGGCCCATTGTGCGGTCGACACTGGCATCTGGATTCACGAGTACGTGCAGAAGCAGGGATGGGAGATGGATGTTGTACTGGGCACAGCGCTGGTAGACATGTATGGGAAGTGTGGAAAAGTCTCAGATGGAATGCATGTGTTCTCAAAGATGGCCAAGAGGAATGTCTATACTTGGAACTCTATCATTGGAGCACTTGCTCTTGCACAGGATGGCAAGACGGCATTGCAGTGGTTCTCTCGGATGCAGAATGATGGTGTCCAGCCAGATGAAGTCACACTTATTTGTGTTCTTTGTGCCTGTGCACATGCCGGGTTTGTTGACATTGGGAGGAAAATATTTAACCTGGCCATACAAGGTGAGTATGGGTTTCAACCTGGGATCAAGCACTTTGGGTGCATGGTTGACCTTCTTAGTCGCTCTGGACACCTCGATGATGCCTTTAGGGTTGTTGAGACAATGCCATCACAGCCAAATGCAGTGATATGGGGCTTGCTATTAAGAGGCTGCAGGGCCCGTGGCGACTCATGGTTGAGTGAGCATGTGACAATGAGGCTGGTGGAGTTGGAACCTGAGAATGCATCGCATTATGTTCTGTTATCAAATTTGTATGCTGAGACAGGGAGGTGGCAGGAAGCTCAGGGGATCTTGCATTGGATGAAGAAGAAGGGACTGAGGAAAGATGCAGGCTGGAGCCTTCGAATGTTAGAGGACAAGTCAAAGAAGTATACTACTGATGGATGTTTGTTGGAGTATGTTGAGTGAGGAACAACATTGGAAGGTAATTCAATATATACCATGTAGAGAATCATGCCTTTGCTTTCCTTCTGAGTTTGGATGTGATCATGTAAGTTGATTCGGGAGCAGGAATTGTAGAAAGGTGCTTCTTTACTAAGATAACGGTTTTATTGGTCACAGATAGATTGATGAGTGCTTTTGGCACATGCACTTCATGAGATGTGGGGTCTATACTTGGGAAGCAAAATTGATAATGCTCTATTAATTCAATGCCATCATTAACAAAGAGTGGTTAATTTTGGTGGAAATCAGACAATTCCGCAACTCCCATTTCATACAATCTATTTCCATTTTTTGTTGGAGGTAATTGACTAATTGTACAGGTTATGGTCCTTAGGCAAAATGTTAATGGAAATTTTGACTAAGCGATATTCTTCAACAATGACTTTTCTTGCCTTCTGTAGTACTACTTCAGGAATGACTTTCTTACCCTTGTGTATAGTTTCTATTTGTACTAGTGTTTCCATTATACTCCCTCCGTTTCATATTATAAGTCGTTTTGACTTTTTTCTAGTCAAAAGTCGCTTTGACTTTTTTCTAGTCAAACTTCTTCTGGTTTGATCAAGTTTATAGAAAAAAAATTAGCAACATCTACGACACTGAATTAGTTTCATTAAATGTAATGTTGAATATATTTTGATAATATGTTTGTTTTGTGTTGAATTTGGTCAAACTTTAAAAGTTTGACCTGGAAAAAAGTAAAAACGACATATAATATGAAACGGAGGGAGTAATATTTTAGCTTGTAACAGGAAGGTTTTGCAAGGTTGTTTAATACTGTTAAATGAAAATAGAACCAATAGAACTCAATGCCCCTGTTAGTTAGACATTGCCTTGAAGAATAAATATCCAGCTGTCTAGTTGTAAATGTGATGCAAAAGAAGATAAAGTTAGACTGTTCCTGGTATTGGGGACATGGACAAGTTAGCCTGAATTGGAGCCTATTGGGGACATGGGCTCCTTCAGATTATATTTGAATATTTATCACAAAAACCTAACTATGTGCATGTTTGGTAGCATAAGTGATGCATGAAGTGCCTGTGGAAAACACCGATGAATATGACGGCCCAAGTTGGTTGGTACCACTTCTGATTTCTGAACTAGAAAATATCTCATCATCTAAGCTCTGAGTGGCCTATAGAGATATGAGGGACCAGCAGGACAATTCTTACTTGATTGTGACCACTATCTTAAGTACTTCCAAACATATAAAATAATTGCTAGGTTAAGATTTGCTTAGTTTCTTGGAAATATTTTAATAAGAGGATTTATCACTTATTTTTCAGTGCACTTTCGAGATGGAGTGTATATTTGAAACCATTCCTTCCTGGGATTCCTTTGTCTTTGCTCATTTTGTCGTTTTTTGCCTGACTCATTGCTATGGATATGCTATCATTATATAGAAGCATGAGCTTCCGGAAGGATGAACCTCTGATCCCTTCCCTCCCTGCAACAGAACATGGCTCTTCCAACACCAAGATTGGTAGTTCCTATAGATGTGAGCAAGAAGCCATGGGAGCAAAAAGTCCCTCTCCATAACCGCTGGCATCCAGATATCCCTCCTGTTGCAGATGTAACTGAAGGGGAATTGTTCCGTGTTGAGATGGTCGATTGGACTGGAGGAAGAGTCAGTGATGATAACTCCGCAGATGACATCAAATTCCTGGATCTCACAATTGTAAGTATATATATCGCTCCTGCAAGAGATGCCGTTTAATTTTTTTTATCACAGCGCTTATTACAAAACAAGATATCAGCGAAACTGACTATTGATTCCCACAGACTCATTATCTTAGTGGGCCCTTAAGAATAGTTGATGCTGAAGGGGTTCCAGCTGCACCTGGTGATCTTCTTGCTGTAGAGATCTGCAACCTTGGTCCACTTCCCGGTGACGAATGGGGATATACTGCCATATTTGAAAGGGAGAATGGTGGTGGATTCTTAACCGACCACTTCCCTAGTGCAAGAAAGGCGATTTGGTATTTTGAAGGAATTTATGCATACTCCCCTCAAATACCAGGTAGAATTTTTTTTTTGGTGTTGTTCTAAATGAAGCTTTTCAATTTAGGATACCTCAATAGTTCCATTGTGTGTATATCAGGTGTCCGATTTCCAGGATTAACTCATCCTGGTATAGTGGGGACTGCACCATCTGCTGAGCTTCTCAATATATGGAATGAGAGGGAAAAAATATTGGCTGAGACAAATCATGAGTCAATCAAAATCTGTGAAGTTCTACATCAGAGGCCTCTTGCCAACTTACCAACCCCTGAGAACTGTTTACTTGGAAAGGTATGACCTTCTGCCAGATTAGTGGTTTTACTTCAGTGCAAGGATTAAATGAAACATTGTTTGTTGCAGTACCTACAATTATTATTTTCATCTGGTCCAGACTGTCAGTGCAGCAATTTTACATATAGATATCAATCTAAGACATGGTTATTGGTTAAAGAGCCCTGTTTGTATTTTTTTTAAAGGAACAAACCATGTCTATAATGCTTGTTGCATGATTCAGATTCAAGAAGGGACTGCTGATTGGCAGAAAATCGCAAATGAAGCAGCAAGAACTATTCCTGGAAGGGAGAATGGAGGGAATTGTGACATCAAGAATCTAAGTAGAGGTTCCAAGGTTTATCTCCCGGTATTTGTTGATGGAGCAAATCTGAGTACTGGTGACATGCATTTTTCCCAGGGTGACGGCGAAGTCTCATTCTGTGGAGCAATAGAAATGAGTGGATTTCTTGAGCTCAAGTAATTACATTTTTTCTTGTCTATAATTCTGAGTACTTGTTAAGATGCACCCAAACAACTACTTAAAGGTGAACAAAATCCACTAACACTAATGTAACTAATCCTTGTATTGTTAGGTTTTTCACAATTCCTATAAATATACTAGACTTGAACACCTGCATAGATCATCCACATAGACATAGCTGCTTGCTTGAGACTTTTCATCTGAATGGGCACATCAAGAATGTTAATTTAAGGATCAAGGAGCACTGCTGTCACCACTCACCAAGTCAATTGTGATGGTCTGTAATATTCCATCTCCATGGCACTGCAGTAGTTTATGCTTCTTTTCTGTCATCAATGTAAGTTAAAATGCTCTAATGATTTCTAATTGAGACATTGTGTTGGTTTGCATCACTTTTGGTTGTGGAAATCAGAATCGCTCCACTAATGCATATAGCACCAGTTATTCCTAAATCATGCATCATAGTTATATCGTACTTGAGAAACTACATTTCCACTTGACTGTGCAAGAGATGCTGAGTGCTTGTGAATAATCTGATCATGAAGATTTGCTTCTCGTGTTCTTGTGAAAACCAACTGATTTCATTCTTACATTTTGTGTAGGTGTGAGATCATAAGAGGTGGGATGAAGGAATACTTGACTCCAATAGGTCCAACACCACTTCATGTGAATCCTATCTTTGATATAGGTCCAGTGGAACCACGTTTCTCAGACTGGTTAGTCTTTGAGGGCATCAGTGTAGACGAGTCTGGGAAGCAGCATTTTCTTGATGCATCAGTTGCCTACAAGCGTGCTGTCCTCAATGCCATTGAGTACCTTTCCAGATTTGGGTACTCCAAGGAGCAGGTAGACACAGGATTTTTGGTTATCCTGCTAATATTATGTGATCTGAACATTATCCTAAAATCAGATATTAACGGATTATATACAGGTATACCTTTTGCTATCATGCTGCCCATGTGAGGGTAGGATATCTGGAATAGTAGACTCCCCTAATGCAGTGGCAACTCTTGCCATCCCTACAGCAATATTTGACCAGGTTTGGTGCCAACAACCGAACACAATTTCCCTTACTCAGAATATCTGTTACCAATCTGTAATTATTTAGTTACAAAATATATCATACTCCCTCCAGTCAAAATTAATTGATGTTGGAACGTCAAATTTTTTTTACTAGAGGGAACCAGGGAGTAATAGAACTAGACTGACACAATTATAACTTGTTCCTTTGGTCTGATCTTAGATCTAACTATGTAAGATAGGCTAACAATTAATTGTGAATGAGTACTCTCCATGTATTACAAGTTCAGAACAAATCGATATCATTCCTGGTAGACACTTGAAACTCCTGTGTAACCATCAAGGCATTTAAGGCTGATGGCCTAGGAAGATTAGATTTATAATCTACCCATAATGCTCTCTATTCAATTATAGAGTAATCTTTCTGATTAAGGTTGGTTACACTTCGTGATGGGCTTGAATAATCAAATTACCCGTGACTCAGTGATAGAAGAGACTCAAAACAGCGTAAAATAGAACTCCCCTGATGATTTCTGACTTACTACTGAGGTCAAATCACAAGAACTAGGATACACAAGGCACACAGATAAAAAACATATCATTTGTAGTTATGCTTTGGTTAACCTTATTAACATATTGCAGTAAGAACTAGCAATAATCCAGCTGCTATTCATTCTGATCTAAAAATAATGGAGGTTTTTTTTTTTTGGGCAAGTCACTAGAGTCTACAATATTTCCTTCATAAAGATCTTTTTAAGTAGGATAATTTTATTTTAGAACTTCAGTATGTGACATTTGAATGGTTGGCTAGGATGTAAAACCAAAACGCCTGAGTGGGAAACAAGGACCAAAGTTGAGAAGGCTTCCAGATGTTTTGAGATGCTCGTCCGATGGACACCTTCCTGTTACACAGGACCCAAGCGGTACAAAGGCACCTTAACTACTGCAAAATGCGTGGTCATATTCACAATCCACTATATGATTAGTAATTATAAATCTAAATAATCATATTTATTATTCCAACATCTATCTAGTGTAATCCATAATGTGGGTCACATGTTGTATTTTCTGTATTGTACGTGCCGTATTTTCTGTATTGCTACCAAGCACCAACTCGTGTTATCTGAGTTGTGCAAGCAACTAAATTTCCTTATTGTCCCAAATATCACGGCTTGTTTGGCAACTTGAGGGAAGAGGATTGGGAGTTTACACGAGGGAATTGATGGTGAGATTAAGATGGAAATTTGATTTTTCATCCTAGTCTCTTGTTTGGTAGAGGTGGTAGAAATTGATAGGGAGTTTAGTTGGAGATTAGGTCATTAATGAAAACGGATGGCTGAGATTTGTTTAGGCGAAGTAAAGGACCCCCTACCCAGGTATTGAAAAGGAGGGAGTTCATTCCTCAATTCCCCATCCCCATCCCACCAAAATTTCCATGTCTCCTAACCAAACAAAACATTTAATAGCCTCATCCCTCTAAACTTCCAATCCCTCCTAAAAACTCCCCCTAACCAAACGGGCCATGAGTGCAAGCAGCTCGTCTTTTAGTTTTTTTTTTAAAAAAGAAAAATATCTTATTTGACTGTTAATTAGTACTGAATTCTGTGACAAGCAGACATGGGAGAGTGGAGCTGTGGTAGATTGGAATCGATAGGTTTTTGCACAAGTCATTGGCAGTGGCAATGCCATGTTTCCTTTTATGTGCAAGCTATAGCAGTTTTAGCCCCATAATTAGAATCACTTGTACCTACTACAATATTCATGAATAATTTAACGATTGAAACTGGTAAATTAATGTTCTGTGAGAGGTTGCAAGTTGGATGAGTTCAGGTAGGATTCAATTTATGCAGGAAGTGTTGCGTATTTCTCTATATCAAAAGTTCAAATCTAAACATAAGGTGATACTTTTGTCTGTTGGGAATTATATGTTGTACCAAACCCGGGCTAGGCTGTAAGCAGTGTACTAGTGTAGCAAGTTACAGAACTTTTTCCCTCCCAAAAACACTGTTTATTTTAGAGTCATGCATTACAAAATAGGGAGCTACGTCTGTGTTGAAAACTTTAGCAGAAAGGATCATGCTGTAGTAATAGAATAATAAGAGCGATTTAAACATATACTCCACTATAAGTAGTGTATCCTAGCAGACATGGGTGACGCTGTACCAACAGACATACTCTCATGGAGGAACATGAGTGGGGTTGAATTCCTGGGGTGTCAGTGTCACTAGTTCACTCCCATTTTTGCACAAGCAGAAAAAAGTACATATGGGTCAACAGAAGTAGTTGGTAGATACTCCAACAAGGCCTATTATGTTATTCGGCCAAGAATGACGTTACCAGCTTACCCCATCACAAACACTCGCCATTTCCACTTCAGAAATAACATCTCACACATGATTACATGGTAACTACCACTGGACAGCATGATCTAAGATCAAAGAAGCAGGCATCCAGGAGTATGGCCCTGATGCCCTCTGCCTTAAACACGAGAAATTACACACGCACTGACACTGACACCGACTGTATAAGCACTGGGACTGAGTGCTGGTAGTAGTAGTTGTAGTAGAAGGCTATATATCGTTGTGTCGTCTAGCTCAACTGGACCGTGTAGTGTAGTGAGTGATCACTTCTTGTGCGGGCTGTATTTGGGGCAAGCCGGGCTGAAGTGCTTGGAGATGACGCGCGAGTTGAGCAGCTCGATGATGGGGCCGAAGGAGACGCAGCGCGGCGCCTTGTACTGGTTGATGGAGGCGCCGCGGGAGATGGCGTAGTCCATCACCTCCTCGAACGTGCCGGCGCGCACCACCCGGATCTCGAGCGGCCCGATGGCCTCGCCGTTGCGTCCCTGCCTGTACACGGCGTTGAGCGCCTCCTCCATCTCGAGGCAGCACCGTTCGAACACGCCGCGGCCCTCCTCCTCCGCCGGCGGCGGCCACGCGCCGCCCTCCCGCACCATCAGCTCCCAGTACACCACGTAGTGCCCCGGGATGGTGGTCGCGTCCGCCTGGCTCGTGTACTCCACGATGCTGGCGCCGTAGGGGGACAGCAGCGCGGACGCGCGCTCCACCGCGGCCTGCAGCTCCGCCTCGTCCGTCTTGTCGGAGTCGATGCTGAGGAGCACGTTCTTGCGGCGGACGAACCGGAACTGCGGCGCCGCGTTGTGGAACCCGGTCACCTGCAGGATGTCGCCCACGCGGTAGCGGCAGAGCCCCGCGTAGGTGGTGATCACCAGCTCGTACTCCCTCCCGACCTCGGCGTCGGCCAGGTCGACGAGCCGCGGCGGCGGCGCGTCGCGGGGCAGCGGCGGCGCGTCCGGGTCGTGCGGCATAAGCTCGAAGTAGCCCATGTTGGGCATGATGGTGTACGACACCTCCGACGGGTCGCACATGGGGCGCAGGTTGAGGCCGAAGTAGCACTCGGACGACGCGTACATGGTGCACGCCATGGGGAGCCCACCGCTGTAGAACTTGAGCGTGGGGATGTACTGCGCCATGGCGCCCGTGACGATCACGTCGAGGTACTTGGTGTTGGGCCACATCCTGGTGATGATCCCCTCCCACTTGTCCTTCCCGCACTCGGCCTCCACGAACGCGGCGAGCTCGGCGTCGGGCGCCGCGAGCACCTCCGCCACGGCGTCGCGGATGGACGGCTCCGTCACCTTGGCGCTCAGCGTCCCGGTCCTGATGTCGTGGGCGAGCTCCCTCCAGTGGAGCTGGAGGAAGCGGATGGCGCGGAGGAGGCCCGAGGCGAAGACGGCGCCGACGCGGAGCACCTCGGCGCGCGCCACGAGGCCGCACAGCATCTGCGCGTACATGGACTGGAACGCGTCGGTGCACAGGATGGCCGCCGTCGGGCTCGTGTACACGTTGTAGGGGTCGAAGGGGCGGTGCTTGAAGTGATCGCTCTTGTAGTAGCTGGTCAGCACCGGCCTCGCCGGCAGCCCGCCGGGCGTCTTCGTCTCCGACTTGATGAACAGGAAGTAGAGCCCCTTGCCCTTGTCCAGCCCTGGCACGTACCTGTCATTTTTTTATTTAATTACCTTTAGTTAATTTAATCTGAGATAAACATATTAATCACTAGTACAGTACTATCTAGCTATAATACTAGTTTACTACTACAGTCATTCAGTCAGCTAGCAGCTGGTTGGTTATGTCGTTGAATCGTTAAGCAGGAAGGGATCAACAATGATCATGCAGTGTAATTGATGGCCCACTGATGCTGAGTTCTGCATGCCGGATTAATTAAAGATTCAGGCCGATGTTGACATAACCTATGATAAGATATCAGATGTACGAAAGATTTAGCATTGTGATGGCTAATTAACAGAGATACACCGGTGGTTGCACCATTCCTTTCAGCTGGGATACATTAATGTGGGATTGACACAGGGCACGTAATAATGCTGATAAAATTTTATGAGCATGAGCGTTAGTACCATTAATTTACGTGTGTGTTTATTCAAGCTTCAAGCTAATTGAATGGTTCTGAAAACTCCCTTTCTCTTAGCTTATTTTAGCGCAACAAGGCCGGTAGCCGATTTGTCGCTTTGTTTGTAAGGTTACACTCCAACTTCCTGGTTACGTATGCGAGCGACTTTGAGCTGCTACATAATCTTATTTTAGGAAGCTAGCTAGCTATCGTTAGATGTCTTACAAATTAGAAAAGGAATCTCGGTGCCTAAAAAGTAGAGAGACACCCAAGGCAGCAGCACCTCTAGCGTCTAAGACACAAACACATTATATTTTAGGCTCAACGTGAATGATTAATTAGCCACACCTCTCGCAAGTTGCGGTGTTTCTTAGCCAAACCCTTGTGAGGTCACCAAGGCTACAAACGCATGACTCGCTCGCCCCGGTCATTACATTTCCCAAGTATTATATTTAGCATATGAAAAATTAAACGTACTGTTTCTTGATCGGTCGATGGTAAAGTTTAAACGGAAAACGGTTAGGTTTAGGTTTGTCTCTGTAGATTAGATTAATTAGGCCTTAAACTAATGCATCGATCAATGACACTAGATTAAGAAATCATTTCTTTCTTTTTTATTAAAAGAAGATTAAAAATTGCATGCTAGAAATTAATACGGCTACTTGTATCTTAGCTAGGTAGCTTCAACTGTTGCCGGGAGTCAAGAAAACGTCCCAATCAAAGGCATGGTGAGAAAAAGAAAACAGTTAGATGGCTAAAGTAGGATAATGGCCAGAGATTCAGAGATGGATCACCCACAAGTTCATGACGGGCATGAGGAGGCTGTAGAGCATCTGCCTCCTGTCCAGCTCATCTTCTATCGTCGGCATTAGCTTCCTCTCCCCCGCCGAAGTCCCCGAGCTGGATGCACACGCACGCCAATTAGTAAGCAAGAACGATCAACCAAGCAACGACCAAAAACTAATCAAACAATTAGTTGGAGTCAATGGCGGAGCCGAGCCGGCAAATGAAAGGCCGGATTAATTGAAAAAAGAAATTGTTTGGGTTAGCTAGCACTACTATACACACCTGGTGAGGAACTCGGTGATGGGGTGGGAGGAGATGATGTTGGAGCGGTCGCCGTTGGCGATGCGCTCGATCTCCGGGCGGAGGTCCTCGTAGGTGACGACGGGGACGCGCGCCTTGAACGCCTCCCGGTCGGTGCGCCCTTCCATGCCGTGGCGGCGGAGGTACTCGGCGCCGTTGTTCCGCGCCAGGATCGCCGCCAGCACCCGCTCCTGCACCGCGTCGAACCCCCTCGTCATCTCCTCGATGAACTCCAGCTTCTCCGCGTCGCGCTCGCACGCCGCCACGGCCTTCCCCGCCACCGCCGCCGCCTTCGACCCCGCCTCCGCCGCAGCCACCGCCGCCGGAGCCATGAATATCTCTCTCCCCTAATTAGTTGGCGTTGCTTGCCGGCTAGCTTTTGCTATTTTTTCTCGCTCGCTTAGGCTTAGCTTGGAGTGTGCGATGAGAGGAGGCGGTTGCAAGGGAGGGGTATATATAGCGGCGGGAGGGGGGGAGGAGGCCGCGCGCCATGCACGTCGCGCGCGCGCGCGCGGGCGAGCGAGGCGGGCCGGTGAGGGTGGGGACTGGGGAGGCAGGGCGTGGCCCACACGGGCGTCACTGCCCGAGCGAGGAGGGGGCACGTGGGCCCGCCTGGTCGGCCACGTCGGACGCCCGGGCCCCGCGACGGGACGCGCGGCCGGCGCGCCCCGGCAGCGAGCTTAGCCATCGGCGCTGACGAACGAGAGCTAAATTGGTTTTAATTACCCGACCGGTCGGGTTGTGTAGTTGTTCGTCTCCGGATTAATCAACGGCAATTTCTCATCTGATGGAGAAATTAATAAGTAATATACGACATGAATAGGTTTATAAAAATGTATTATCAAGGTTGGACGAAAAGAAAATGGAAATCCAGGAGAGGGGGTGTTTTGTTGCTGCTTGGGTATGTGTCGACACAGTAGTGTGCAGCGCCACACCTGACCAGATCATCAGAGAGAATTATGTGCTAGTGTGAGGGTATTAAGGAAATGGTAAGTGGACAGGGACTGAAAGGAGAAATGGGATTTTTCTTCCTTAATACAAGTGAGCCGGCAGCTGGAGATGCATGCATGGAACAAGCGGGGCATTGACGGACAAGAGAATTTCCACAAGAATATTTGACATTTTAGCATTGTAGAATTTTTTATTTGCAAGTTAAAGTAATGTAATGTAAGTTTGAAAAGTTTCTTTATGCTAGGAATTCTACCCTTTCATCGGTTTAAAATTTTTCACGATCGACATCAGTTCAAATTAGTAAAGTGATGACTGACGACGGGCTAGTGTTCCAAAATATCCATTTAAAATCTAACACGGCTCTAACTAAAAATCCATTTAAAATGTGTTCAGTATTACATATACATATACATACATACACACACACACACACACACACACACACACACACAGACAGTTTACTAATCACACACGACCCACAAATAGGATCTTCTGCTAGCTAATTAACTTCACGTCGAAATATAGACTGCCGGGCTGGACGTAATTAATCATGTGAACGTGTTGGCTGCATTTGTCGACTCATCTTCCATATAAGCTCGTTAGAATATAATTAGCAAATCCTTCCAAAACCTCTTTATAAAATTAGCACGTCACAAAAATAATTTGTGGTTGATCCACAGGGTACGTACGTATATATACATAGTGGTACTTGTACGGCTGGATAGACCTACGGGCTACAGCAATAATCATATTATCATATATACATGTGGAGACAATAATGTACTAATCCAGCTTGTACCGCGCGTGTCGGCCTATCTATCCCCTTTCTGTGATCGCGAAGAGCCAAACGTGTTTTACGTGTCGTCCATCGAATCATCCATCGATCGGGTCGAGGCGTAGAAACGATCACTATTTCCCGTGTCTTGACTTGTGCTAGCTAGTACACCCAATTATTTTCGTTAACATCGGTTCAATTAACGCGTCTCATGAAGTAGTAGCTAGCTAGCTAATAGCTAGGATACGATCGATCAATCGGATCGATCTGTCGATCGAGTTGTTCCTTTCAATCAAGTTTTAACCTCTCGTGAGTCAATTTTGGTGGCTAGAGATGGTTTTGTTTGGTTCTGAGCCCCCCTGTAAGGCTGTAATTAGCAGAGTCTGATCTTTTGGCCACATGTTTTAACTGATTTTACATTGCATTTTTTTTTCACTGAGAAATTTACGATCGGTGTTACCGCGCCGGTCCATTTCGAGGATCTACAGTAAATCTGCGTGTCCACTGTACTAGGAGGAAAACGATCGAATGGGACATGGTGACAGGAACAAGAGCGGGCGTTTGCACCCTCAGCCGTACAGGGAATGGAACAACACATCAACCTATAATATAAAGGACAAAGCTAACTAGCGAAAGAGAGAGAGAGAGAGATCGAGAGCAGAAATACTGAAATACGTACACAAGTACGCAACCCCTTCTGGCCAAGTGTACAGTACACCACGTCCAATTTAACAGGTCATTCAGGTTTCCCTTGTCAGAACGTCAGTCTTGACCCCGAGATCGATAGAGACCGACGAGTCGTACGTTCACTTCACAGACCGATCGATCTACGTCGTTGTATATCCCAAATACGCGAACTCTCCATAAGTCATGTCCTAAAATATAACAATCTAATATAAAATATAAATATTCATTCGTAATTACTAAAATACTTTATGTTACATCCCACACTAAATTATTATATTTTAGGATATAAAACAATTAACAACACTACTATACTACGTGTTGGGTACTGTCATTACACGATAGCTGCTATAGTATCAGCAATATCGTGCAGCCTTGTACTACTACTAAAAATAAATGGTAAATTTGCTAGTGGAAATGTCTACAGTACTGTTGATAAAGTAGCAGACACTGATATTTAGACTCGGACTCACATGTTATTCACTGCTATTGTATGAGTAATATTGCAAAGAATCTTGTATCTGTAAATTTATCGTATAAGTATGTTTATTATTAAAAAACCGTATAAGTATGTTTACGAATTGACCCAACCATAACCTTAGCCGGCGCAGACCCACGGATGGATCAGCGATATTGGCACTTTTTTCTCAGGCGAGTGTGCCGTGGACTCGCGGGGTGGGCGGCCGGGGCACGCGTGGTTCTCGCTCGGTCGCTCGCACAGTCGCACGTACGTGATCGGGGCCGCGCGATCGAGCAAGCCCATATGGCGCGCGCGTGCGTGCCAACGTGCCAAGCCTCGAGAGCCGCCGTTCTTTTTGCGCGCGTACACGGAGCGCGCGCGCGCACGGAACTCCCGCACCGCGAATGCATGGGCAATACTGTACTACTTGTTCTCGCGGGGAACAGCAGGGTGTGGAACTGTGGATACAGTCAATCGAGTAGCTTACCTTTTGGCTTTCGACTCTGAAATTCAGAGACGGGCAGTACTGGTGATTGGTGAATATGTTTCTTTATCAAGCCATGCTATTGCTGTCTTTGCAACGGAATACGGCATGGTCTTTGATGTGGAACAGGGGAAGACTACAGAAAAAAAAAAGTATACTGGATTGATACTGAGATGACGGGAGCAACATATTAATTCAAAAAGGAAAAAAAAATACTCCGTATATCCTGTACATACATATATTGAGAGTTATTCTCAATGAGGAATGCTCTGGTCTACAGTTAATTAAGAACTACTCTGTAAATGATATGATAAAAAAAGCGAAAACGACATGACCTATTTTTTATGTTTGTACATTTCTTAGAGTTCAGATGGCTTGTTTTTAATGCTTTTATCAGAAACCAAGTTAGGTTCTTCTCTCAAAACTGTGGTAGCCAGCACACAAGAGCTTGCCTGTCATTCTCGTTTCATCTAGAAATCAAGCAACGGTTGTATTCTACTATTATATCTGCAGATTGGTGAACAGTACACATATAATATGACACCTATTCCATTCCCCTCTCCGAGATAAACTAAAATCCAGATCGAGCAACCCAGCATTAATAAAAAAAAACTAAAAGACTCGTCAACTAGGCTAGTTTAATTATCTGGAAAGAGACAAGAGGACGATACCTATCTAGCAGGAACGGCGTCATGATCGATCGATCGATCGCTCTGCCTGAACCAAACACTAGTATTTTCCCACTGCACCTGGTGTCTGTTGGAATTTGCAGCTAGCTGGCTCTCGTCCGTCTTCTCTACACCAAGTCAAAATCTACAAACATTATTCAATTCTATACACGTAGCTAGCTGCTGCTGGAAGTATATGCCAGCACCTGGACGCACACATGCAAATCCAAGCCAGTACGACATGCATGCATCCAACCATGTATCCATCCATGATCCATCCATGTTGCATTTTGTGCACCACGTATGTCTCACGATTCAGGGTACAGAGCATATACATATGCAAGCATGAATGCATCATCCATGACACACAGGTGACGCTGAAGTCTGAACAGGTAGGTGGTGGCTTCTCCCAGTAATCCCAGTGGCAATTAGTTTACTCGGGGGGAGATCTGAGACAAAGATGCTCTGTCTGCCTAAACACAATGCGTGTGGGCGATTGGCAGAGGACGACGAGCTACGCGAGGCTGCCGGTTGCCTGTTCTCTCTGCTGCATAAGCAAGGAGTACGTATGTGCAACTTGCAACTAGAAGTAATACGAGCTAATTTAAGCTAAGCTCTGCTTAGTTAGCCTCGAGTTAGATAGGGGGGAATCCCCAACCTCCTAAACAAGTTAACTACGCTATAATCAGGAGATTTTTTTTTAAGCCGGCGAAACCAATGGTTAGCCGGATGGGACCGGAGCAGCGAGCGATTCCCTTGTCTATTAATCAATCGTTACCATGTTACGGAACATAGATGTAGCTACTCCCTCCGTCCAAAAAAAAAAAATACAAATCCTGGGTTTTCGTGTCCAACTTTAACCGTCCGTCTTATATAAATTTTTTTTATAATTCGTATTTTCATTATTGTTAGATGATAAAACATGATTAATATTTTATGCGTGACTTGTCTTTTTAATTTTTTTCATAATTTTTTTAAATAAGACGGATAGTCAAACGTTGGGCACGGAAATAAGGGTTTGTTTTTTTTTTGGGACGGAGGGAGTAGGTTGCTAGCTGCCTAGCTAGCTGACGGAGCGTGGGGCTCCTCACCGGGAGACCGCGCAGGCCCCCCTTTGCCGGTTCGGCCGGGGGCGCTAAGTGAGGTTCTTCGCCCTCGATCTGAGGAACGTCAGCGAGAGAGGAAGTGCACAAGACACGGGCGACGTAGACAGGTTCGGGCCGCTGAGAAGCGTAACACCCTACTCCTGTGTTCTGGTGGATCTGTGCGTGAAGGAATACAGAGAGCCGGAGAGCGAGAGAGAGTTCAGGCTCTAGAACCCCTTCGCCAGAGTCCCAACCCCCTTCCCTTCTTCTTCTTTTCTCTCTCTTTTTAGGCCTGGGCCTCCTTTTTATCTGGTCCGGGGTCACCACATGGGC